TAGCATGAAAATGTGAATATAAAATAGTAAACAATGTAGCCACTTTTAAGTTCACAATCCATTGTGCAACACTGTGCACTAAGCTTTAAAGCCAATAGTCAGCATTTTATTACTGAACCATAGTCTTGAACCATTCTCATACTAAGTACACAGTTAGTATATATATAGAAGACCCCATGCTACATGGTATGGATGGACAAAAATATGTGAGGAAGAGTAGAAGTGATGAAGAGGGCAGAACGTGCTGTGGCGCCTATTGGGCGCTTATTCTGGCATTTTCTCGTGCTTTGTTCCTTCCAAATCATTTCTTTAAACAATTAATTTGGTATATCTTGTTTTATATTCCGCAATCTCTCAACATGATCTATCTGATGGTATAACAATCATTTAGATGTTGTGCCTTTTGAGAATGGTCTATCTGTGAAATTTGTCTAAGTCTCCAGCTCAAGTACAAAACACAGCGCTGAAGAGCCAAAATAGGTTCCTATATGTTCAAACAGCTATTATCATGTAGACCTATGTAACAGGTATGTAGAGGCCAAGTTTCATGTTAATAGCTCAAATATTGACAGCTACAGAGAGTTAGGCAGATTTTGGTCTGAAAGTGAACTGACTCCCAAATAGTGTTGCCACAGCTTGACTGCTTAGCCGCTAGTCATTGCAGTCAAGCCATGTGGCAGCCAAGCCAAGTTGCTGATTGACTCTTGGCTGTTACGCAGCTTAGCTTTGGCTTGGCGTGACTTGGAGGTGGCTTGCAGTCAGGTCCAGTTATCTCAAAAAGGAAAATGCTGCATCACCTTGCTTGTCACTATGCCTCCTCACAACCATGGAAAGAAGAGAGCTGCCAAGACTCCTCAGAAGACACCTAGGAGGCAAAAGGTGGCCTCTAAGCATGTTGAGTTTAACAACGGAGCTATTATGACCCAGTTTAAACTGTCTGGTGCGCTTTTTTTAAGCTTTTGTGCAGTTTGATGTTGTCTGCTGATAACATCTTGAATTCTGTAGATGATTTCTCATCTGAGGATGCTGTCCAAGATTCTCCAGCAAAGAAGAGAGGTGGTAGGAAAGGTCTAGGGGTTCAGGACGTTGCTGAAGAAGAGGTGCTCATGGCATTCATATTGCCCCGAAGAGGTCGTGCCAATCACCAGCACAATTCAAGTGGAGAGAGCTCAATAGACAAGTGCATGATGACCAATACTGCAAATTGCTATGCTTTAATATTTGAATCTTTGTAGATTTGTTCCAGTTGCTAATAGTTGTGAATACATCAACATTGATATTGCAGACGACTCTGAAGACTCACCTATTAGTCTAACGCCAGCTACAGGCTCTTCATGTGATCTCCTGCCTGCTCCTGCCAACTCAACTCGCAAGCCAGCAGGTCCTCCCAATTCATCTGTTGCCGGTCAGCATCAGAAATTGCCTCATGGACCTGCAGGCAATAGACAAGGCAAGCAAGCTAAGGATGTCTGGCCCTTCATCGAGACAGATGAGAATGGACGCAAGAAATGCAAGTTTTGCTTGTATAAATTTCTTTCAGCTATTTCTTTGCACTTATTTCTAAAAAAAACTCGCCAGGTTTATGCATGAACAGAATCCTCATCACCATATGTCCACCTGGACTACTGCAGGCACAGACAACCCCTAAAAGCACTTCTAAGATGCTCATCTTGATGAGTGGATGGAGGCATGTGATAAAGCGCAAGTCAAAATCACAGCGAAGTGTGCTACGGCACAAGTTAAAGCCTGGAGGCAATGTCAATGTGGACAACCAGATGTTGCACAAGCGGATAACAGCCAGCCACAGTTCACTAAGAAGCTATTTGTGGATTACATTACTGAGTGGATTGTTGCTGATGATCAGGTGTGCTTTAAATTTACATTTTATTGTGCTTTAAATCTGAATAAATATTTGCAGCCTTTACGTGTCATTGAAAATCCACAGCTTTGCAATATCTTTCTTTTGCTTTGCTCAGAGCTGCATAAGAAAGATATTCTGGGTGGACCACTATCCAAACACAAGTTGGTGAGGTTTTTGAAGAGTATCTCAAAGAGCTTAGCCAGAATATGAAGGTAAGTGGCAAAAAAATTACAAAAGAAATCTGCTCTAATTCCCAATTATAGAATGCAGTTGGCAGTATATCCTTCACAATGAATATGTAGACTGACCCATTCTTATCGCCATACATGGTGGTTACTGCACATTGGCTGCAGCTTGTTCTTGAAGATCATAGTAATGAACTTCAGCCACAGCTTCGACTTTGTGCAGATCTTATCGGCTTTCACCATGTTCTCTCCAAACACACTGGTGAGCATCTTGCAGCTGCATTCCTTTATATCCTGAACCATATCAAGATCACGAACAAGGTACAGCCATTTTAACAACTTAAAATGATTAAACCACTTACTGTCCTTTAAAAATATATAGATTGGCTGGGTTACAATGGACAATGCAACAAACAAGGACACCTGCATGGAGGCTCTTGAGCAAACCTTGCAAAAGCATGGAATTGCTTTTGACAAGCTTCAACGTTGCATTCTGTGTGTATATTTCAATAAATCAACTGCAGTTTATTGCTCAAAATAATTGTAGCTGCTTTTCACACATTGTCAACTTAGCATGTCAAAGTGATCTTAGTGCTATAACTGAACTTGAGTATGTCAAGGAAACGTCGCAAGATTTTGAGCCAGAAAAGTTTTTGCCATGCAATTTTTTGATGCAGTCAAATGTGACTCTATCACAACTTTACATTCTCTCATTAGAGCAGTAAGTTTAATTTAATCTATACAAGATAGTGATTTGCTTTACCTCAATGTATAGATTTGTGCATCTGTGCTGCGTCATCAGCATTTTATGCAGATTTTAGTCAACATGGATATGGCCATTTTGCAGCTTCTCAAAGATGTTAAAATATGGTGGTCATCAACATATCTCATAATAGATTGGGCTATTCTACTTTGCGAGGTAACAATTTATTCTGGCATACTATTATTTATTTATAGGTAATTGAACAATTTCTCTATGGTTTAGAGTTTGCAGAACTTTGCAAGTATAGCATGAACAATGAAGAGTGGAAAGCTTTGGAAGTATTCCACAAGATCCTTTAGGTAAGTTTAGTTTTCTTTATTTATCCAAGTAATGAATTAAACATGAATAGATTCCACATTTGTTTCAGCAGCTTTTATCTTCAGAATCTATGCCAACACTCATTAGTGTTTTACCTGCATTTGAAGCCATGAAGCCACGCTGGCAGGAGCAACAGGCAAAAGTATCCAATGCAGCTGAAATTATTCAGCAAGGTCTGAACAAGCTTGAAGGCTATCGTGATTGCAACCACAGCTGTAATGCATATACTTTGGCCACTGGTAAGCACAGCTTTAAAGCTGCTAAAATTTGAAGCTAAGTTTATTAGTCATCAATTCTGCATGTAAGCTGGAGTGGTTTGAGCAAAATACTTTACCAGCAGAAGTGGCCACAGCAAAGAATCTATTTTTAGCTGAGGTGTGCTTTTACTCATATTTTAATCTTCATTTCTCTTTATATTAACATTGATTTTACAGATGCACAAGTATAAATCCAAGATGGCTTCTTTGGCTTCAGCTCCAGCAGCTGCAGTGATTCAAACACAGCAGCAAAAGGCCTACGTCATTTTATTCAAGAATAAAGGAAATGGTCCATTAACTGAGTGTTCAGTAGAGTAAGAGTGGTATGCATATATTGCAGAGCCCACAGATGGATTTTTGAATGCTATCACATACTGGAAGATGAGTGTACACTTACTGAAACTTGTGCCATAAATTTTCTCTCCATTTTTCTCCATTTTTTCGAAATATTAATTTATCTTCACATTTTAGGCATCTCAAACCAGGTTTCCAACCATCTATGCCATTGCAATGGATATTCCGCCTATCCAAGCCTCTGCTGTGCCCTGTGAACGTGTCTTCTCATCTGGAAAGATAACAGTCACAGACCGGTGTAATAAAATTGGTGGATAACTCATGGAAGCACTGTAAATTCTCAAGTTCAGGTTCAAACAAGGCCATTCTCTGTCTTTCACACATGGTTTGAACATCGGAGAGGAGCTTAAGAACTTGAAGAGCTGTGCAGAAGAGTCTCCAGAGGAGATCAGTTCATATTTAGCATCACTCAAGTAGGACAAGCAATGTTACGATGAATTCCACAGTACCAGTGTGAACTACCTTCCTTTTTGGAAGGGACAATTGGCTGCAAGCTGCTGCTCAGCCATAGTCGCTTATAGTCGTGGCTGCACTGCAGCTTGGCTTGACTCGGCTGATTCTAAAAAGGAAAAGCCATCCAAAGTCAAGTCACAGCCAAGCCACACCAAGCCATGGCAACACTACTCTCAAAGTGCTACTTCCAACAAAACATTTCTTCATTATATTCAGAAATTATAACTGTGACAACAAATCTGTTGTTGATACTGCCAGTCACCTAACATCAAGCATCACATGAAACACACCTGCATTAAAGCTTATGCTGTTCACAAGCAATTTGAAGCAGGTCTAATCAAACTCATTAGAATTCCTAGTGTCGACAATCTGGCTGATATTCTCACAAAGCCTTTACTAGCTGAAGTACACAGTCATCACACCCAGTCTCTTGGCCTTGTTCTGTATCACCTCACCAAAAGGGAGTGTTAAAGCACCTAGTAGCTCTAGCTTGGCATTCTGCCTGGCATGGACTTAAGATGGACATCTTATTGTAGGCACGTGTTAATATGTAGATAGTAATTGGATGATCAGTATATAGTGCTCCCACACACAGACTTTTTTATGGTAAACTTCTCCATTCTAGCAGACTTCTAATTTTGATCCTTTAACATATATAAGGACTCCTCCCCACATTCCCACTCTGCATGCTCTTTCTCTTTGCACTTAGAGTAAGTCTCCTTTCGTCGCCCTTGCATTATGTAGTATACTTACCAACCCCTATCTAGCTAACACTGTGTGTAATAAGTATATAGCTATGCAGCATGCTCTTTTCTTTCACACTCAGACTAACACTGTGTGTATTAGACCATACCCATGTGCCCATCACCAGTTTGCACTCATGCAGCTGCAGATAGTCGTTACATGACAATAAAACATGAACACAATATCTATATAGCATTACATGTGTTTGTGGCAATCTGATGTAGTGCAACATGGTCACCAGTGCTACATTTTGGATATTTTGTGCTACAACAATTTCTGACTAAGGCTAAAGAGCCAGAACAGATCTCTATATGATTAAACAAATTTTCACACATAGATCTATACTAGAGCCATATGTGACCCAGATTTTAGATCAATACCTTAAGTATAGCAAGCTGCAGAGCAAGGGGCAGATCTGCATTAGAAAGTAAACTGACTTCCAAAGTGCTACTTCTGATAAAGTGTCTTTTTATTACATTCAGAAATTGCAAACATTACACTTGTGACAAAAAGGAACCACTGTGGCATGTAAGGGGAGTATCTTGCAATGAAGTGGAAAACCAATTCCAAAGGAGAACTGGAACCTTGTGGGACATTTCAGACACTCTAACATCTGAAGACACCTACAGTGGGCAGACTGCATAGGATATTCTCAGAAAATTAGTTCTTTTTCCACCAATTTAGGCCCAGTTTCCTCAAAGTCTTTACCATGTTGTGCTATGTGGTTTCTCTGATTACACCCTTTTACAGACAAGGAAGTCTGGTTTGTAACTTTACTTCTTAACCTGGTACTCTTCCCAGCCAACCTCACCCAGCTTCTCAACCTTTCCCACAACCTCTGTTTCAAGGTCTTTCAAATATCTCTCCATGGCTTGAATCAAATTTGGCTGTGCAATGGCCAGTATGCGTACTGCAAGCAATCCTGCATTGGTGCCGCTGTTAATGGCAACAGTGGCGACGGGGATGCCCCTCTGAGAGCTTGGTTAATAGCATGAATGTGAGGGGAGACAATAAGACACTCACGGGCATCTGCACAATGCTGTGCAAGGAATCCACGCCGTCCAGCGAGCTTCCTTTGACAGGAACGCCAATGACAGGTAACGCAGTCATCGCAGCGACCATGCCAGGGAGGTGTGCGGCGCCGCCAGCGCCAGCGATAATCACTTTTAAGCCCCTCGATGACGCCGAGCGCGCATACTCTACCATACGATCCGGGGTGCGGTGCGCTGACACGATCGTCAGTTCGTATGGGATATTGAACTTGTCGAGCATCTGCGCGGCAGGGAGCATGACGGGCAAGTCCGAATCTGAGCCCATGATAACGCCAACGAGTGGGTGTGTATGTGAATAACCCTTAGCGGGTTCGGGCGGTGCGTATAGGTCGATCTCGCGCTGGTCCTTCGGGCCAGGAAGGTGATCGAGAAGGATACGTAGGCGGGCACGAAGTTCGGCGTCCGAGTCTGCAACAACAGTGACATGGCCCATCTTGCGGCCCTTGCGGCATTCGCCTTTACCGTAGAGATGAACGCTTGCGCCAGGGACAGTCAAAGCGAAACTTGCGAATGACTTGACCTCTTCAAGATCGCTAGATGCGCCAATGACGTTGAGCATGGCCGCAGAAGGAACCTTCATTGCAGTAGATCCGAGGGGAAGAGAAAGGATGGCGCGGAGGTGGTTCTCGAACTGTGATGTCTCGCAAGCTTCGATGGTGTAATGCCCCGAATTGTGAGGACGTGGCGCAATTTCATTGAGATACATGCTACCTGTCGAACAATATTAGACATTGATACGAGCTAAGCGCAAGCAACACATACCATCTTTGAGCAGAAACATCTCTACGCCAAAGATCCCGGCACCCTCGAACGATTTGACTGCTGCCTCGGCAACTGCTCGAGCACGATCGGCGATAACTGGATCCTTATGACGCAGGGGGGCAAACACCAAGTGGCAAATGTTGTCCTTGTGGATGGTCTCGACAGCGGGGTAAGAGCGAACTTCGCCAGTGGTGGAGCGAGCAACCATGACAGCAATTTCTGCCTCGAAAGGCACCCACTTCTCGCAATAAAGCGGACGATTCTTGAGCACTGCCAACGCTTCAGCAATCTGGGACTGATTCCGGATGACGAAGTTGCCGCGACCGTCATATGCGAGAGTACGACTCTTGACCATGAGAGGGAGCCCGACCTTTTGCATAGCGTCCTCTAATGACTCTTTCGTGGATTCGATTTGCAGGAAGGTCGAGACAGGCAAGCCATGTGAACGCAGATGCTTCTTCTGTACAAACTTGTCTTGAATGATCCTGATAGTTGACGGACTGGGGTGCACTCCAAGTGGAAGGCTTGGTTCAACTTTCTCAAGTACGTCGGCATTGACGTGCTCGATTTCAATCGTCAGGACATCGACCTTCTGCGCAAGCTCGCGTATCTTGGTGGGATCGGAGAATGCACCATTGATATGCGCTTTGTCAGCCGATTTGGGAGCGAAGACTTGCTTTGCGGGACTATGTTCGCCAACGTCCAGAAATATCATATCAATATCAAGGAGAGATGCCGGAACAGCAAGCATGCGGCCCAGCTGCCCGCCGCCTAAGGTGCAGAATCATTAGCGCCACTAGTGCAAGCTGGTTAGATTAGTGTCGCCGATTCTGCATTTTTGTGTGAGGACTGTTTGGCATGCAAATATCAAGAGATAAAACCCACTCTCACCTAGCACCCCGACAGTTTTGTTCGCCATTTCTCGTGATGTTGAGGAAAGAGAGAGATGAAGGTCTGAGATGAAGTCACGGGCAAAACTTGGGGACCATCCGGCAAATGCCGCGGTTAGCGTTTTAATAAGCGCTCATTGGCCAACGCCTCACCTTATCCCAACGGAACATGGCCCCTCCAAACACCAATGTGCAACCTAGAAAACGCGCTCGGAAGCGCAAAAGACGTGTTGCCTCGTCGTCAGATCTCAATTCAGATTCCTCCCCGTCTTCAGGGCCTTCTTCCCCAGTCATTACCCGCAAAGTACTTGTCAAGCCCAAAGCTCCTGAGTCTCTCCAAGAAAGCTCCGACTCGCAGGACTCGTCTTCATCCTCGGAGTCTACATTAAGTCGAGTAGCATCGCCTGCTCCCATCACAGGAGGCGACGAAGTAGCTGCGGTACCAGAGGCTCGCCAAAGAGAATGTCCGTCGTCTCCCCCTCCTATCGCGAACTCCCCGCCCGCCTTTCTCCCTCCCGAGGATCCCTCACATAGCGAGGCGGCGCTCCGAACTCGGTTCAAGAAGTTCTGGATGGTTTCAGTTGCTGATGCGTTTAAGAACGATTTAGAAGAGATCAGAAAGGTTCGTCGCAGAGGTTGGCTTTGCGGAGGAAAGAGTTTAATGCCCTTTCAGGAACCATCTATGACGAAGGCACGGCTTGCTGTCCTCATCGACTCTCTTGCCTCCGGAGCGGATATTTTTACCTCTTCCCCGAGGTCTGCCAGCTCTCCAGATGATCAAGTTAACGAGATGGAGGTGATTCTAGGTAGCGAATAAGTCGTTGTGTGGAGTCTCATTGGTTTGTTCTAGTACTAATCATGTACAAATCGGCAGTGCACACTGGTGCACTTCTCTTATGTTATCCGCGCATGCGTACAGCGAGACTATGCCAACTGGATCACCTAAAGAGGGCTTTTCTAGTGCAAAATCCACCCTGACGTCTACGAGTATATCGATCGTGTTTGTAATGAATGGCGAATACTGCTGGTCCTGCTCTGCTGCTCATGTGTCCACGCGCAGCGAGTGTTCCGGAGGTCGCGAAACAAACAGAATCACAAGGTTTGTTGTTCAAGCAAAATCGCAGCTCCAGTAGTTTCCTGTACACGCAGTCCGCAGATAATGTTTTTTATTGCCGAGGCTGGTATCTGGGCGCGTACTTTATCTGATCACGCCAGCATTCACGCCCCAGACCGTGCGACGCGACTTCTCTCATCCTCCAGTGCTAGGGCGAAGTAGCTGAAAAGACACTTCACCAGCATCTGAAGTTCGGTGGGTGCGAATGTATTCATCTCGTCGAATTCGCCATCTGAACTTGAACGGTTTGGATAACGTGTTAGCGTATTAACGGTCAGCTTAGCCGCTGTGTTGAACAAGACACAATCCAGGTGACAGCTATGTCTCACGTCTCGTGGTGTTCAGGTCCAGGATGGCGAACCATTCCTGCGACAGACAGCATGCCAGAGTACTCCGTTTATACGGGACAAGTTCCTAAGCCTGAGCTGGACGATCGAGACTATTGTCTCATCAGGCTGGGCAACGGAATTGTGGGAGCGCTAGTACACGATGCGCAAGCCGACAAGGCTGCAGCGTCCGTCCATATCAACGTTGGGAGTCTGTATGATCCAGTAAGCTCCTTCTCATGCTCAGCTTACTGGTCGCTGAATGCAAGCTCCAGAACGACGTGCCAGGTTTGGCTCACTTCTGTGAGCATATGATCATGAAGGTACAGACACTGCAGAGCACAGGTTCGCGTTTCTAACTGAAGACGCCAGGGATCTGAACCCTACCCTGCCGAGAACGACTGGATCTCGTTTATTGAGTCAAACGGTGGTGTCAAGAACGGCGTGACATCTCCGACGTGGCAAGATTACTACTTTTCAATCAACCCATCCGCGCTCTCGGACGCACTCCCCCGACTCGCGGCATTCTTCTATGGTCCGATCTTCACCGCCAATTTGACTGCGCGAGAGATGTACGCCGTAGACTCAGAAAACAAGCGCAATCTGCAGAAGGATGAACGGCGGATCCTTCAGCTGAGCAAGTCGCTCAGCGTGTCAGGACACCCTTGGACGAAGTTCGGAACCGGAAATGTCGCGAGCCTGACGGATGCGGCGAGAAAGGCCGTTGAAGCTCATGGCGAATCGCCCGACGTACCGGACGGAGATGGTGGACCCGTGGGTAGAGAAGTAAGACGACGGCTGATCGAGTGGTGGCAGCAGCAGTACTGCGCGGGGCGTATGACCCTAGCCGTCGTCGGCAAAGGTAAGAGATTTAGTTGATGTGTTTACACTGTTGGCTGAAAGAATACGCAGAGCCTATCGAGGAACTGACGCAGCTTGTTGTGCTTACATTTTGCAAGGTAGTCAACAGGGAGTTGGATCCTCGACCTGTGCTCACGGAACCTGCCTGGGGTCTTGAACAAATGAGCGTACGTGGTTATGGTTCTTGGCAAAGACCGCACTCTCAGAATGCTACGGTTCAGACCATCATATTTGTCAAGACAGTCAAGGACTATCACTCCTTCCAGTTCTCATTCCAAATTCCGGATCAGTCGCCACTATACCAAACCAAGCCCGCTTCTTTCGCTGCACACTTCCTCGGACATGAGGGGCCTGGAAGCATCTATAACTATCTCAAGGAGAAGGGCTGGCTACTCTCCATCAGCGCCGGTGCCTCTACTGAGAACAGAAGTGTGTCGAGATTTACTATCGCCGGAACTTTGACAAAAGAAGGCTATGGTCAGCTCTTCCTGTGACGTCAGCACCACTTATTGCGCTGATTGCTTTCGCTTAGTCCATTGCCAGGATGTTCTCCTCGCGATCTGCAACTATCTGTCCCTGTTACGCGCAAGCACCTTTGCATCACATCACTTCCACGAGAGAGCGCAGATGGCGACAACATTTTTCCGCTTTGCGGAGAAGTACCAGCCGCATGAGTATGCGCGCAACATTGCGCGGGCGCTGCTACTTCCTCTGCCTCCTGAGCGCATCCTCGATGGCGGCGCGCTCGTTCGCGAGTGGGACGAGCAGGGCGTGCGAGAATTTTTGGCGCTTTTGAGGCCGGAGAACGGGCGAGTGATGCTTATGGCGAAAGAGCATGATCCAGCAGTCCTTGGACTCGGCAATGGCCAGGAGAGGTGGGAGGTAGAGAAGTGGTATGGGACCGAATATATCGTCCAGAGGCTCAACGATGAGTTCCTGGAGAAGGTCCGCATCACCTTATAGTCCTGACGTACCCGATACTAACTTGTGCTGAGTAGGCAAATCGTTCTAACGAAAATGCGCAGCTCTTTTTGCCAGGGCCTAATCCATATATCCCGGAGGACCTGTCGGTCGACAGAAAAGATATCGACAAGGTTTCGGAACTTCTTCACCAGCGAGACTGGGCAAACATTACTGATTAAATCCTGAGCAGCCAGCGCCCGCGCCAGAGAAGATATATGAGACGCCACGGACAATTCTGTGGTACAAGAGGGACGACCAGTTCTGGGCACCCAAAGCGCATGTCCGGCTAACCATTCGATCGTACGTCAAGTCTTCCATGCATCCATTCGTACAACTTAGGGCCTTCGCAGACCCCACGCGTATGCCACGCCCCGGCACGCAGTTCTAACTCGGTATGTACGACCTGCCTGAATACCTTCCAGGCTGACTGAAGCCTGCACAGACTCTTTACTGATCTTGTCGAAGATTCTTTGTCTGAGATCACCTATGACGCGTCACTCGCCGGGTTGTATTACAGCGTTGATAGCGAGAAAGAGGGTCTGTACGTGTCTGTGCGTGGGTACAATGACAAGCTGCCTGTGCTTCTCGGCACCGTCATCGACCGGCTCAAGACTATTAACATCCGCGAAGACCGGCTCAAGGTGTTTTCTGAACAGGTGGGCGTTTTTTTTTCTTCCAGAGAGAATTCGAGTGCTGATCAATTCGTAGCTGGAAAGGTCGTACAAGAACTTCTATCTCGGTCAGCCATCAAACTTATCGCAGTATTATATCTCTGCTGCCCTCGTTGAGCGAACATGGACCCCGCTAGAGAAGCTTGCTGAGCTGCCACGTGAGTCGAAGGTTATATGCACTAGTGTTTAATCCTAATCCTCAAACAGACATCACTTGCGAGAGCGTCGAGCAGCACAAGCGCGACCTCTTGTCGAAGCTGCACTTTGAGGGTCTCATCACCGGTAATATTAAGCAGGAGGTACGCCCCTAGTAATGTATAGCTAGATGTGTGCACGTGCTAATCGTAGTTTTTTTTTTTAAAGCAAGCTACGCAGATTGTCCAGGATGTAGAGAACCGCCTGTGTGACTCCAGAATTCTTTCTCCCTCGGAATGGCATCGTGAGCGTTCTCTGATTCTCCCTTCTGGTGCGTCCGATCTAGTCCGCTACTCTGTTGGACGTTTGCTAGAGCAGCTTTACAGGTGCAGACTATGTCCTGCAGACGAAGTACGCCAATCCGAAGGAGCTGAACTCTGCTTTAACATACTACTGTCACTTTGGAGACGTCGCGGACGATAGGCCACGAGCAACGCTCAAGCTCCTGGTGCACATTATGAAAGAGCCGAGTTTCAGCCAACTACGTACCGTCGAGCAACTTGGGTATGTAGAGCAGACCTTCACTGAAGTCTGTGCTAATCAAGAACGAAAGCTACGTCGTCTTAACATCCATGCGCTCCGCGGTCGGCAGCATGGGTCTCGACATCAAAATCCAGAGCTTGAAGTCGCCAGCACACGTCGAAGAACGTGTAGAGGCCTTCCTTTCATCCTTCCGCGGCGACTTGGTTGGGTTTACACCTGCAAAGTTCGCTGAGCTGAAGAGCGCACTTGTCCTCAAGCTGCTTGAGCGGCCGAAGAACCTCGCGGAGGAGACATCACAGTTCTGGTATCAGATCGAGGGCGGATACTACGACTTCCTGAGGAGTGAGTACTGCACCTCTGTTGCTTCGATGTGAAGGGCTCACAGCTGTGACAGGGGAGGTAGATGCCGCGACTGTCGAGAGTTTGACGTTGGATGAGGTCCTAGCGGCGTACGACGCCTTCGTGCTGCCACAAGCTACTACACGAAGGAAGCTCTCGGCGCACCTCGTCGCAGCGCAGACAGAGAACACTCCACGGAGCACGAGCATGGTTGTCAGCGGCGAGACAGAGGCGAGGTTCAAGGCTGGCTTGGCATGCTCGACAGCAGCGCTGCCTATCGAGCGTGCGGGACATGAGATGCCAGCGCCCCGTCTACGGTTGCCGAGCAGGCTCAGGTCAAATTCCCAAAACCCAAGTCAGAAACCCAAATCTGATACCATCAGCGCTCGGATAACCGCCGTACACCACCAACCTCCGAGTACACTGGCGCCTCTTACTCTGAACATTTGAGTATTTTCAGCATAAATAGTCGATTAATATTGCATGTATACGAGGTTAGAAGTCAAATGAAGCATGTCAATCATCGTTTGCAGGGCAGGCGGTGGGGTGAACAGCGATGGCGGCGTTAGGCGCCCATTTTCCATAGAAGCAGCGCGTCGGGGCTTGGGCCCCCCTTGCCGTCGGAGTCGTTGCAGGTGCGCTTGACCTTGCCCTCCTGTGTAGCTATCTTACTAAATGTATATATTATCAGCTGCTAACCTAGTTATGATCAATATCACCTAGTGAGAACAAGTCATGCCGTACTCGCTAGATTGTGCTACCGACTTAGGGTTAGGTTCTAGATAAGATAATCGAAGCTTTGGGCGCTTGATTACCGCTTCGATAAGTTTGGGTCAGATAATGGTCCTCGGCCCGCTACTACCTTTATTGACCTCAGAGTATACAGATACAGCACCTTACATGTTTTCGTAACATCCAAAAGGCCCAAAAATGCCATACATAACCCAGACTAATGTTTGTGTGCGGAAAGGTGCTCGGGCGCTCATTATGCGGTTGGCCATCAGCTTTGTGATCCGGACTTGGGTTTTGGGGATTTGACCTGAGCCTGCTCGGCAACCGTACCCGTCTATAATGCCACTAGTGGATCGCTTAGCTGTTTTATCCGGCGCTGTGCCAGTTCGGGTGATGTTCATTTTATCTTGCCGCTTCTTGTAACGTTCAAGTAATTATTAAAGGGGCGTGCCTCGATCGCCTGCTTGGACACTCGTGCCTCCTGTGGCGTATCTGTTACGTGCCTTTGAGCTGCCGTAGAGAGCCAGCACACCTGTCAGCCTTGGTGTGAGCACCAACTTCTCTTTGGCACGATCAATTCATGCGAGAGCATTCGAGGCAGTGAACTGGCCTGGGAGCCGCCTGGTGATGTCGAGAGCGCCGCTTGCAGCGATTATCGAGCTAAATCCCATGATGCCGAAGAACAATGAGATATGGGGTGGCTGCAAGGAAGAGCTAACTTTTGATAGGACAGCGGTGCCATTATCTGCAACATTGTACCTCCGAGTAGCTTTCCTATGTCCAACTCCTGGAGCCGTTTTCCCGTTCTCCGCATCTCGATCAGCCACGGAGGCATATCTCAGGCTGGCGCTGTCCCTCATTGTCTCCTGCGTCGATGAACGCGTTACTTTTTTGGCCTCAACTGAGCCCCTCGATGCCTGTTTGCAAGGATGATTTGTTATCTGAAGCGGCCCTGCCGATGCGGCGAGGGATGCCGTATTCAATCAACCCTTTGCATCATGGGAGCGTGGAAGGGGGACATTCTCCTTGCTTCGCACGGCGTCTCCTAGGTCCTTTTCTACCAGGGTTCGTCCCTTGTTTGTGTGTTCCTGCCCCCCCGTCAGGTCCCCCCTCTCCTCCTCGCGCACACTGCTCGCCGCTATGGCCACAGTTGCGAGCGAAGACGCTCCTCACGCTGCCGGCGACTCCGGTGCGCTCCTCTCGCCACCAGACACGGCACGCTTTGGCGATGCTTCGCCGTCGCTACGGGACAGTATGCAGGGCTCGTTTACCGGAGCGATGCCTGCGACACCGGATCTGTCGCGCCCGTTCTTGACCCCAGGCGCGTCCAACGAGAAGATTCTCGGGATTGGAGATCAAGAGGCGCCACCTCCGGCGCGGCGGCGCCGTTGGCCTTTGGTTGCCGCTGCAGTTGCCATTGCCGTAGTCGTCATCGTTCTGGCCGTGGTTCTCCCGGTGACGCTTGTGCACCATCACAAAAAGGGCAGCAGCGCCGCCAGCGCGAGCGGAGGGGCTGCGGCGGCTGGACCTTCGTCTAACCCAGAATCCCCAACTGGTGCAGTCACAGGAGGGAATGGCTCCCTTATTACGACTGAAAACGGCACGACGTTCACCTACATCAACACCTTCGGTGGCACATGTGAGTTCTGTGCGTCGGCACTTGGTTGGTCTCGCTAATCATCGTCTTGTAGGGGTGGATGATCCCAGAGATCCCTTCAACAACAGCGCGCGTGCACAGTCGTTCGTCCCTGCGTTGGACGAAGAGTGGGTATGGGGTCAGGACCTCATTCGCGGTAAACATTGCCCGTCGTCTGCGTATGGTGACATTCGTTTACGCCATCATTAGGCGTTAACCTTGGCGGATGGCTTATTACCGAGCCTTTCATTGTCCCTGCGCTTTACGAGAAGTATCAAAATGCCACGCCACCGGCGGTGGATGAATGGACACTCAGCGAAGCCATGTTGAACGACACAGGGCCTGGCGGAGGTATTCAGCAACTCGAGCAACATTACCAGACCTTCATTGTACGTTCTAGCTGTGCACAAGTAAACGATAATCGCTAATTGGTGCCAAAGACCGAGCAAGATTTCGCCCAGATCGCTGGTGCAGGTCTCAACTGGGTACGCCTGCCCGTTCCGTACTGGGCTGTTGAGACCTGGCCTGGAGAGCCGTTCCTGGCGAAGACCGCCTGGACTTACGCTTTGAAAGCACTCAAGTGGGCACGCAAGTATGGCCTTCGCGTTCTGCTGGAGCTTCATACTGCACCTGGTTCTCAGAACGGCCTGAATCACTCCGGCCGCTTGGGTCCTATCAACTTCCTCAACGGCCCCATGGGTATCGCCAACGCTCAGCGCACCACCGAGTATATTCGTGTCCTCACTGAGTTCATCTCCCAGCCCGAGTATCGCCCTGTCGTCCAGGCATTCGGTCCTATCAATGAGCCTCTCATGGGCATTATTGGACGAGACGTGCTTGATAGCTTGTAAGTTTTCCATTCCTCTTGAGAAACGTTTCTCCTAGGTTTAATATGTCCGCTCTTCCTCCCTTCTTATAGCTACCTAGAAACGTATGAGCTTATGCGCAACATCGTAAGGCCTCTTCTATCTCGGCATCATGCGCGGTTCTCATATCTGTCATACCGCAGACAGGAATCGGCAATGGCCCGTATATCGTGCTTCACGATGGCTTCCTGGGTCTGACTCCATGGAAGGGCTTCATGGAAGGCGCATACGTGAGTTTCCGCTAGTATCCTTCTACTCAAAGATAACGACTGATGGTGCCTCCCATACTCGACAGGGCATGGTTCTTGACACGCACCCCTACGTCGTGAGTTCCCCTCCAACTTCGTGGATGCCACGTGTCCTGATTCCTGTTCCTGTAGGCATTCGGCGGCGGTCTTAACCAGCCCCTCGACTACTGGCCTCCTGCTGCATGCCGCGCCTTCCAGACGAACCAGTCCAACTTCGATTTTGGGCCGACCATTACTGGCGAGTTTAGCGCGGCCGTCAATGATGTGCGTCATATGTGTCATTACGTCATCACCAGGTATCACTGACGCGACTCCTCACTACAGTGCGGCAAGTGGCTCAAGGGCGTCGGCGATAACGCGAGCTACCCAGACTGCGACCCCTGGGATGACTGGCCGACGTGGACAGACGACATGAAGTCGGGCATCAAGTCGTTCGTTATGGCAAGCATGGACGCGATGCACATGCCAGGCTACTTTTTCTGGACCTGGAAGATCGGCAACTCCTCGGTGACGGGAATCCCCACCTCACCAATGTGGTCATACCAGCTCGGCCTCGCGAACGGCTGGATGCCGACTGACCCGCGTGACGCTGTCGGCACCTGTGACACCCTGGGTGTGCAGTTCAACCAACCCTTCCCAGGCGACTACCCTAGCTGGCAGACTGGTGGCTCCGGCGCGGGGGACATCTTCCCGAACGCGACCGTGTCGATCGAAGCGTATCCGCCAACGCTCTCCAATGCAGGCAGCGCAAACCCGACGCTCCTTCCACACTACACCGATGTCTCGGCGAATCCGACGCTTCCGCCCGCGACATTCAGCGGTGCTACAACTAGTGGCGGAGACGGCTGGGCGGACCCGCAGGACACTGCGCTTGCACCTGCGCCCGTTCCAGGATGCTCGTATCCTGATGCCTGGCTTGCACCCAACACCGCGACCTCCTTCGTCTGTGGTGTGGCCGCTATTGCGACACCGACTGCTTGAAAATAGAGGATATTCTTATGGATCCTTTCCCCACGCTTGATTAAGCTTAGTTATCACGACACGGACTCGGACTTGACGTATGAATCTTGGATAAGTTGCCCCTCTCGATGTATACTCCCCCACCATGTCCTCCGCTCTTCCTCTCGCCCTATCGTTCGCGTGCACATCCTTTTATACACACGCCATCTCGAACTTTGTCAGCCTATCCATACTAGCTCATAGACACTACTCAAGGCACGGAAATCATATCGACTGTTATTACTGTGTGCGTTTCTGTTTAGTGTCTGTACCCTTAGCCTGTGATTTGTATGGGTACTTAGTACCCTGGTACTCACGCCCACACCACACCATGATGAACCGTGTAAGATGACTGATAAACAGGGCTAGTCTGACGATAAACGCGTTCATGTCCACAGCAGTGATGAGCATACATGTACAACGAATACACAAGCCCTCCGGTGCGTACTTGAACGCATATTGTAGGTTCGTTATTATACTGGTATGGCCAGAGAAAGAGCTCGCAAATTGCGTCGTGGTGCTTGACGCCGCCTTCCACCACAGTATGCCCCACAGACGTCGCCTATTACGCCTGCTGGCGAGCTGATTATGACTATGACTAGAGCTCTACCTGAGCGCAGTAGGCGGCGACCAGTCCCTTATCGCCCCTCTCGTGCGTGCGCACGTCAACGCCGCGGTCGTGGGCGGAGAGCTCTGGGCGGCCACGCTGCCCGAAGCCGGCATTGTGGGTGTGGCACTCTGGTTCGGACCTGGCAGCACGTTCCTTGGGACGTATGTATCGAATACCTCTGTCCATGACGCAAGATACTGACAAGCTAAAATACGCGAAGGGCGGAGCAGAGACAGATGGGCTGGGACGACATCATGGCTCGTATTCCGGCAGAGAACATCCAGTGGTGGGACACCGTACGCACCTTGTCTCGTATGGCGCAGAGGGGACCGCTAATTACAGGACCCGCGTTGCTAAACAGTACTTTGCCACGCTTGACGAGATTTCTGGCCGCGTCCTGGGAGCGGGCATCAAGCGGGATGCGTATCAGTTGTACGTTCTTGGTACGCATCCCGAGTATCAACGGAAAGGCGTGGCCACTGCGCTCCAGAAAGAGGTGGAGGCTATCGTGAGCACAGGTCAGATTCTCTTGAGCATGGCATGTTCATTTACCGTTTCCCTCAGACTAGAGAGCGCGGCATAGCCCTTGTGGTTGAGACGACGGGTGCACAGAATGTAAGTCCTCTTGCACCATGATATATGACATGCTTCATGAGGGAGGTATTCCCTTCTTCTGTAGGTGTCAGTATACGAGAGGCTTGGTTACCGGACGATGGGCAGCGGAAAGTACGTCCGGGCTAATGGCCAACCAGGAGAGCTGTTTGTTTTCCTCAAAAATCCATAATCAATAGTGCTGAAGTATCGCCTCACTGTTCATTCATGAGTGCTCTTCATATGGCGTCCTCACGGCATCTTAATGCCGGAGATGAGTAAGAGTAGGCTCGTGCTCAGGCCGCGCCTCGTGTCCGGCGCGCTGTCTTCATCTGGAGGCGTAGTAACATGCATATAAGCTGCTCGTCGCAGTGGTGTCGCGAAGATTCCGTAGCTTACAAGTATGTGGATCACCATGCGTCTGCACAGCACCCCTCTGCTCTTTATTTGCAGTCTGGCAGATGCGCTCGGTACAACCCTACTCGCGACCACCCTAACCAATGTCTGGAGAATCGCACGACGGCTTGTTACCCACTATATACAGACCTGGCCACTCAAGCTTCTCCGTCAGCCCGTGCTCTATCATCGGTACGCAAGCAAGGACGAAGAACAGGGGTATTGGGAAACAGCTGAACAAAGCCGGCAAAAGCTACAAGCCTCAAATGCAAACAATCCACCAGAAGGCCTGCTCATTTACTACGCACCAAAATTACTTCCGAAATACCGGGACGCGATGCATGAAGAACCTGAAGCGAGGGAAGAATATATTGCTCCGAAGATATTTTGCAAGTGGCATCGGATGGTGTTTCCTGGACAGGTGGGTCGAGGAAGCTCCGGCCGTTAGTGTGTCCCGTACATTAACCAGATAGTACAGCGACAGCCAACCTTGCAGCAAGCGGAGAAAGCTCTAAAGGTGTATAGCAGCCGGGATCGAAGAGAGATGAAGCGCATCGCACGCCTACAGAGCGACCATGCCATCTTCCGAAGACTCGACATCTCTCCGGTATACGGAGAAATTTGGAAAGCGTGGCTCGCCAGTAAGGGGCCCGACACCGCCATCGTCTTCTCTGGGGATGCCGCATGAATGCGCAGAGCCTACTGCTGGCCACGCCGCATGAGGTTCCTGCGCACTCGGCGGCGCTCAGCCCCAGTGCCCTCGGTCTTGCCCCAGCGGAGGAACGGCACCTTCGCGTGATCGACTCCGGCGATGGCGTCCTCGGCGCGAAAGTCGACCATGCCCCACACAGGGAGTTCCATCTCGCCCTTCAGCAGCACACGAGGGTGTGCGCTCGCAAGGAACGCAGGCGGGAGCGGCGTCAGGACATGCAGCTTCGCGGGTGCGGACGAGCTTACGCTGCGGACGAGAGCGAGACCGTGACAGGTCGACGCTGCGGGTGGTGGAGGTGCGGCACCCTGTGTATACGGGATGCCACGCGTCATGCTTGCGTTGTTCTGCGAGGAGACGTCGAGATCTAATGCGCCGGGTTCGCAGCTGACGAGGCCGACAACCGCACCGTTCAGCACGCGGTGAATCTCGTACGGAATGATGTCCTCCGAGCCCGGGCCAGAGAGTATGATAGCGTCCAGTGCGGCGTTCGCGACCAATTCGTATGGTGCTTGCGCGCAGAGCGGTAGGGTGGTATTCCACTCGGTTGCATACGTGCTTTGGAGATGCGATCCACCGGAGCTGGGGATGGGAAAGACTGCGTGGAAGTAAGACAGAAGGGACAGTGTTCGATGATCCGCAGGCGAGTACCGCTGTGACATTGCTGATGAAGGGATCACTTCCAATGAATATCTTGTCGCTATACCGTCAAGTCCAATTTCGAAAGGTGTCAGCACATCGACGTAGTCAACATTCCGGCTCGCTGGCCAAGCGGAGTCTTGCAGTGGTGCCTCGAAAGAAAACACGATAGATGGCTCGACGGTCTCTAAGACCTTGCGAGACAAGTCGGCACCGAGACCTTTCGTCCAACCCATCATGTTCACGACAAGTGGGATAATGTCGGCAATACGACTGTCGCCGTCGCCCTGTGTCTCGAGAAGACCGCTATACTGAATATCGACATTGTATGTCTGCATCAGCGCTCCGATTGCTTCAAGGTATTGCGAAGGGAGATTTCGTGGCGTTGTGGAGCCAAGGTAGTGTGCTCTGTGAGGAATACTGGGGTGGGTGAACGGCGGACCTGTCATCTCACTTAGATTATCTGAACACTGGACGTCAACATTCATACGCACCGAACACTGGATTACCCAGGATGCTTAACGCGACCATACCGCCGGCAGTGAATTCCGATTGTCCAAGATCACATTCCAAAAACGCCACATATTTATACCTGAAATGCAAATGACAGTTTAGAGTCAAGAAGACTTGAGTTTCAGAGGGAGAGGGGAAATTGACCTTGACAGCAGTTTGTTCGCAAGTGTTCTTGCAAATGTGCTCTTCCCCGTCTTCTTGGCCCCCTGCACGAGGAATATTTTCCGTACAAACGTCTTGCCTTCTTCTGCTTCAACAAGAGCTGCCTCTAGAGCACAGGTCCAGGATGACAGCATCACGAATGGCTGAACATCCTGATTTCGATACGTCACCTGTCCAGCGGTGAGTAATGAGTGACTTTGGAAAGAAGGGTGAAGCACGTATACCCACGTAATACACTCCTTCTAAGCCTAAGTCCACCTCAGTCTGCTTCCGCTGCCACCTCGAGGGCTCAAACGCGCCTTCAAACGTCCTACATACGCGTCCAAGACCTTCTACACCAGTCCGGAGCTCCTGCAGTACGACCACGGCGGTGGCCCGAGAAGCAGAGGCAATAAAGCGGGATGGCAATTGGAAGACAGTTGTTCTGGATGAATTCTTTGAAGAAGTACATTCGATGACGGGGAGTGGCGAAGACTGTGGCGCGAAGACCGGATGCGCGAACAACGAAGGTGTAAGCTCGATACCATTCAACCGGATGACGCCTTGGAGGACGATGATGGAGTACGTTCCAAGTAAAGTGAGACGCTCGGTCAGTTGGAGCACGAGTAGCTTGCCTGAAGCAGACGGCGAGATTGCAAGCGAAGAGAGTTCATCCGGGGACAGATGAAAGAAGTTTCGGTCAGGGACTGGCTGAAACGTCGAGAGTAGCTGTGGAGGTTCCTCTGCAGCACGGACGACTGGCTCAAATGTTACATCTTTGGCTTCGTCTTCGGAAGATTCAGCGGGAGGCGCACCGGGCGACCAGGTGTGTCTTCGCTTAGCTTGGGCAGCAGCGGTTGGTCCGACAGGCAAGGAGAACAGCTCACCCGAGCTCTCGCCAGAGCCCGACGTGCTGCTGCTCTCAGACGGATCATGTTCATCATCCACTTCAATGACATCCTCCTGCTCCTTGAAGCTGTCCCTTTCCGCGAAGTACCTCGACGGCTGCTTCTTCTCCGCAGGCTTGGTTACCTTGCGTTTCTTCCTTGACCGCTTCGGGGCGGGTGCGAACGGCTTGCGCTTGGATGGCGGCTCGGTATCGCCTGAGGACTTCTCTGGCTCGGGCGATGGGCTATACGATTTTCGTGGTTGTGGCGGTGAAGGAGCTGCGTGTGCGGAAGTCTGAGCTTGCAGACGCGCTTTTCGTGCAGCGACGGCACTGAGCATGAAGAAAGAAATATGCTTAGCGCCCACCTGGTGGCGTACCCTTCATTTAGCGTAGTCGGCTCGTTCTCCGTTCTCGAGTCCCCCGAATATTCGCTCGCTTTCACACAAAAAATATCGACAGTTCCATCTCTCACTGCCGTTCTCCCACACTTGTGATATGTCTACGGCGACATCCGCACCCGCGCCCGCCTCGGTCCTCTTCGCACGCGGCGTAATTGCCCGCTTGGCTATCTGGCCTGCCCTTCGCATTGCGGTCGAACAAGGCTGGGGTGGTCCCGAATCCGCTGAGAAGCGCACCTGGATTGCCTCGGTTATTGTTGATGCTTTTGACGAGGAGGATCCGAAGCCAGACGTGCCCTACGTCGAGATGCAGCTTCTGCAGATCATGGAGGACGAGTTCGAGACGGCACTCGAGGACGGCAGCGCTGAGGCCGTAGCGAAAGATGTTGTGAAGATGTGGGAGGAGGTTCAGAGCGGGACAGGCGAGCTCGTAAAGCACTTCGAGCAGCATGCTGAGAAGATGAAAGGAAAGAAGGTTGAGGTCGAGGAGATCGCGGGGGATAATAGCGATTGGGGCAACGAAAGCGGGGATGAGGAGGAGACTAGTGATGAAGAAGGCGAGACACCGATGCTCGTTGATTCTCAACCTCCCTTGCAGCCGGAACCTGAGCCAGAGGTCGACGAAGACGGCTTCACCTTAGTTAAGGGCAAGGCCAAGTCACACCGTTGAAGGAAACGAAGGAGCCTTGTAAAAAGGTACGCTCTCAAAACTCCCCCGCACACCGAAGCTCAATCAACTCCCTAGTATGACACAGGATACCCATATAATACTGTAATCCAAGAAATAGCATCACCTTCATGCGTTCTGCGTCCTCCCCAATCTCTTGTCATATGCCATCGGCCGTCCACTGTCTGGATGCGCCAAATCCGCCAACTTCGCCTCTCGCATTCGCACGAGTAGCTGTGTGAGGTATTGCGGCGTAACTACCGCTGGTGCATTGGAATCCGGCGTCCCACTCCGACTCGTCGCTGTACCTCCACTTGCAACACTTCCACTCCTGGGTGTCCCCCCGGAGGATCGCTTTGTACCTGCTCGTGAGGAAGCATGGGTACTGAAAGCGGTACGAGCGGAGCCGTCGTGCCCATCTTCATTATATCGGTCCCACATCGTGTATAACGAGATGATCTCTTGCGCGATACTCGCGATGACTTCCATGTTGACGTTCAGACCGGCCATGAAGCCGATAACGTCCTGGGAAGGCTTCTTCGGCTGGCTCGAAGAAGAACGGGACGAACGGCGCGGATTGCCTGGTGTCGACTGTGAGCTTTGAGGCTGCGGCTGCGGCTGCGACTGCGACTGCGGCTGCGACTGATTACTTGAGCTGCCATGAGATTGATTTCGGATAGATGCACATGTTGGGGCATGGAAGACGAGTGTGAGGTATATAGCGGCAATCGCTATCATATGTGGAGGGTGTAGCAGACACAGGTCCGAGCGATAGGTATCGTTGATGATAAGCCTGTGACCATATATGAAAACTGCAGTAATTTGAAGGCGAAAGCTACGACAAACCAGGCTGTCTGGAGAGCTGTTTCCTGGAGCTCAAGCTTGCCCTCGCCCGTGCCCCAATACCGAGGACCGTCTTGTATCCCAGCACCCAGCTCGCCAGCCTCTGCTTCTACCACGGAAGAGCTATTTTCTTTTCCACACAGGGTCAGAAGGGTTCGATACGGATGGTAGACAATGAGATCGCAGTCGAGATCGTCAACGAGGTAGAACTCCATCTCTGCGAGTTTGGAGTTATCGGAAGGGAAGGACTTGATTCCGCCATAGTCTTCCCCTATAGGCAGGAACTTGAGCGGCGCCTGGCGCAGAAATAAGATCAGGTATACCTCCGAAAAGCAGCCTCGCTTCGGTGACGACATTTTTAATGTGTACAGGAGACTCTTCTGCTTTGGCAGCGACATAGCAGCAGGCCGCGATGACCATGAACGGATCGGTCTCGCAATACGAATTCTTGAGGTAGAACCGCCGGAAGAAGACAGTCGCAGTGGCTATAACGCGCTGTCGGAGGGAGAGCCTCTTGCCCAACTTCGCGATCACTGGCTCAGGGTAGCTGACGCATGAGACTTATAGATGGCACGCATGTACTTACCATTCGCGAGAAATATGTTGAGCAAGTCAAGCAGGTCAGGATCGTCAACGTATCGCAGGTCTTCGGTACGGGCACGCTTCAATGTGGCCCGATCTACGATCCATCGCTTGCTATTCAATGGTTCAACACGACGTTGTCGGCGGTAACAAAATGCACTCACTATTGCGAGCTGGCCCAGAAATCTGTAGCCATACCATCAGAGTTCGGGATACAGGATGGCAGCGCGCGTGTGCCGCATACTCACAGCGGCTTGTTTGTCATTGAATGGTCTGAAGACGGAGTCGGCTGTGTGCCCTAGCCACGCATGATCGTACGTTTTCCAAACTATCGTGGTTGTCCTGAGCTCCGTCGAGGGCCCGAGGGCGCTTTCGATGTTAGATGTTTCAACCGTTGAACTGTTGAACGTTGAACCTTTGGACGTTTGGAGGCTGCGTGTGATGTGCAGGCCCGAACCGTCCCGACAGGGATATAAAGCCGCGAGACGCGCAACCCGCATCTTGCTTACCTTACCACTACCTCCACCGACGACGTGCACGATGTTCTCTCGCTCTGCTTCCCGCACCTTCACCCAGTCTCGTCAGTTCTCCTCGTCGGCGGCGCGCCAGACCAAGGTCGCCGTCCTTGGTGCCGGCGGAGGCATTGGCCAGCCTCTCTCGCTCCTTCTCAAGCAGAACAAGCTCGTCACGTCGCTGAACCTCTACGATATTCGTGGCGCGCCTGGTGTCGCTGCTGATGTTAGCCACATCGACTCCCCCTCCAAGGTGCGCGTATGCGACCGCGTCGCATGTGTAAAATGTCTAATGGTGTTCGCTCCAGGTCACGGGCTACCCCGCGGACCAGCTCGACCAGGCCCTTGAGGGTGTTAAGGTCGTTGTCATCCCTGCCGGCGTTCCCCGCAAGGTACGTTCTACCCTGCTCAAAGGAAAGACTGTACTCATATAAACTTTCTCGTGTAGCCTGGTGTAAGTCGTGTATTCTGTCTTCTCGTCAATTCCCGTACTAAATCCGTCGACAGATGACCCGTGACGACCTTTTCAACGTGAGTGAAGTGGGGTATAGGATATCGGATAACTTCTAAGCGTCTTCCTCCAGACTAACGCGTCAATTGTTCGTGACCTTGCGGCTGCCGTTGCTCGCGTCTCGCCCGAAGCGCACCTCCTTATTATCTCCAACCCCGTCAACTCGACTGTTCCTATTGTCTCCGAGACTCTGAAGAAGGCTGGTGTCTACAACCCTCAACGCGTCTTCGGTGTCACCACCCTCGACGTCGTCCGTGCCGCGCGCTTCCTGTCTGAAGTTACGGGTGCGCACCCCGACGAGTGCAAGGTTACTGTCGTCGGTGGTCACTCCGGCTCGACCATCGTTCCTCTTCTCTCGCAGATCGCACACGGCAAGGGCGTCAAGGGCGAGACTTATGACAAGCTCGTTCATCGCATCCAGTTCGGTGGTGACGAGGTCGTCAAGGCCAAGGACGGTGCAGGCTCCGCGACCCTCTCCATGGCGTACGCCGGTGCCAAGTTTGCCGACGCGCTTCTCCGCGGCCTCTCTGGCGAAAAGGGCGTCGTCACCCCTACTTTCGTCAAGAGCGACCTCTTCGCCCAGGAAGGTATCGAGTATTTCTCGTCCAACGTTGAGCTCGGCGTAAGTATTATTGATTCGTCCTAATACGCACGACGTTTACAAATGTTTATGCAGGTCAACGGTGTTGAAAATATCCACCCTCTCGGCCCCCTCTCTGCTGAGGAGGAGAAGCTGCTCGCGGCTTGTTTGCCCGACCTCAAGAAGAACATTGAGAAGGGCGAGGCCTTCGCTGCTCAGTCATGAGTGAGCTTGCCTTGAAACAGATATCGCGGCTATATCTCTGTGCTTTAGACTGATACCAATAAAAAAAGTTTTAAGTTTGACTAGATGTCGTGTTTTGTATATGTGAGGGGGTCGGACTACTTGGTAGGAGGTTGGTGCTGTCTCATGCTTCAGCGATGAGGACCGCTCATCTGTGGAGTTTGGATCCCAGCGATCTTTCCGATGAAACTTCCTTGTCGCGTAGTTTGGTAGTATCCCTGCTCACTAGGACGCTGCAGCACTTCCACAGATCAAACTCTAAAATGACATGGCCATATAAGCCTGCACGTTGCGTTGGCGAGGTGCTCCTCACTTATCCTCTACGAGTGTACGCAATCAAGGTGAGTGGTAGAGTTCCCCAGCTAGCCGTGGTGTTTAGACAAAATCAGGTCCAGCCACTTGGTACTCAGGAAGTCGTAAAAATGGCAGATCAAACCGGTTTCCAAACCCCTGTTCAATTGAATACAACACTGACACAGATCGAAGGTGCGCGTTCGCCAGCATCTAGACAGCCGAATCGCTCAATTTGCGCCTTCAGACGCGCTCAACTCTGTGAAGGAACGATCAGACCGGCTTCGCACAGAGCACCCTACGCTCGCCACCGTAGGTGGTATCACTCTCATGGTCGGGGGTAGCATTGTCATCATTCCCGCTGTCGAGGCCGCGCTTCTGCTCGCAGCCGGCTTTGGTCCCCTGGGACCTATCGCGGGTACGCCCTGTGACAATTTTGCATTGCACATCAGATCTCAATTCAGTACGACATACTAGGTACGCTGGCACCCTGGCTGCAGTCTGTGTTCTGGGGCGCGCGCACCGGGGGGCTGTTCTCGGCGCTACAGGCGGCAGGCATGACCATCGTTGCGCCTTCCGCTGTCACAACCGCCTTTGCAAGCGTTGCTGCTGGATTAGGCGCTTGGTTTGGTTTCAGGCGACCGTAGTCACCGTAAGCACGTATACTAGCATGTATTCAGTGATATGGATCACTCTGTAACACACAGCTTGTGCAGTGGTGATGAGGCAATAAAGGCGTTCAGTGTAACCGTACGTCTGAACATTAAAGTATTAAGGTCCCCTGGTCGAACTTCGAAGACAAGATTGTTATTCGCAGGATACATTAGCGTTGTTCTGTATGGTCATATTTTCTTCCGAAGAGCCTACTTTTGTGTCAAGGGAATAAATCGTATTGCATTGCATTAGCAGTTATTGAACCTATTATACAGCTTCCCTCTTGCGCGGTGTTGCCCGAAGAATGTCATCCACCCTGCAAGGTGTAGTGAGCGAGTTTGAACGAAGCCGAGAGTAAACAACATACCGAAGGATCATTTCTGCACCCTCACTTGCACTGAGGACGACCTGACGCTTGAGCTTATAGCTTTCAGTGATGCCAAGTTCTTTCATCGAACCAATAGTACCCTGGTTCATATCTACAGTAATGGTGAGCAGTGCCCATAAAGTAAAACTGGGGTTGACTGACCGAGACCGGCATCTACTCGCCTGTCGTAGTGAGCTGCTCGAAGGCGGGACACGAGGTCCGATGAGTCATAGCCAGCGTTATCCGCAAGGATGGTGGGGATCTGGCGGAGAGCTCGCGCGAATGCCTCAGCGGCAATGGCTTTCTTGCCTTCGATTTTGCGGGCTTCTTCCTCAGCAGCACAACTCATGAGCATTTCGGAGCAGCCACCACCAAGGACGACGCGCGTCTCCTTCACGGTCTGCGACAGCACCGAAAGCGCATCGTGTAGCGATCGCTCCGCCTCGTCAATCATCTGGTTCGTGGACCCACGCAGTACCACGGTACAAGCTTCGCCGGCCGCGACACCGGAGAACTTGATCAGCTGAGCAAGAAAGATGTAAGCAGCAAGCCAGGGGCAAAGGTGATTCCTGGCGTACCTTGTCCTCACCAATCATGATCTCTTCAATGAGCTCGCAGTGTCCAAACTTGACAAGATCTGGTCTGTCGAAGGTACTGGCAATCTCGCCACCGGTCACGAGCGAAAGCCGTTCGACGCCCTCGAAATCCGCATGTTCAATAACCAAAATGCCCCTTTCCGCGAGCAGGGACTCAGGGTAGTTGTAGATAAGCTGCCGGTTGACGAAGCAGTTGATTCCATGTGCTGCAATGGCGTCTACCTTCGCCTTCATTTTTTCCTTCACAGCAGGTTAGTCAACCATGCCAAGCGAAGTTTTAAAATACACGTACACGCTCCGCGCGCTCAAGTTCGGCGAGTTTGCCTGTGCTGTCAACCTTCAGACGTGCGCCGAAGACTTTGATCTTGTCGGTATCCATAGCTATAAGGCAGACAGTTAGCTTTGAGACATTTAACGTTATGTACGCAGCTCACATGTGTTAGCGATCATAATCTTGGCATTTTCTAGTCGCTTTGGTGAATTAACAGCAATGGTCTTGTCGAGGATAAAGCCTAATGGCATAGTCAGTAATGTGTCATGCTCCTGCATGGGAATCACACACACCCTCGTCAAGGTACGAGTCGGTGAGCTTGCCGCCTGCCTTCTTGATGATTTGGATATGGTCGAGCTCGGTAGACCCCTGGGCCGTTATATGGTTAAACACCTAACTCAGCTACTAGCATACATGTGCGCACTTTCAATCGTAGAACGGCATCTACAGCAAGGTTGGCGAAGTAGTCCTTGTCTTGCGACAGCACTTTTGATGACAATGTCGTCCGTGCGATGTTGAACAGATCTTGCCTGAATTGCGCCGTGTCATGTCTAATGGCAGTGTCAATGTAGTTACGTAGAGAATGATACATAGACTCACGAGTTGTCGGTAGCTGATTTCTCCAGTGCCTTCAAAGCAGCAGCGCTGGCAATTCGGTAGCCCTCCACAATAGTCTGCGGGTGGATTCTTTGTGCAACTAGTTTCTCCGCCTCTCGCAATAACTCTGCTGCCAGTACGCAGACACTTGTAGTACCATCACCGACTTCGTCATCCTGTACTTTCGAGATGTTGACGAGAATTTTGGCAGCAGCGTTATCGAGCTGTATTGACTTCAGAATCGTGGCGCCGTCGTTCGTCACGCTAATTTCGCCTGTGGAGGCTGACTGTAGGATCTTGTTCATGCCCTTAGGGCCGAGGGTCGATTTGACAAGATCGCCAAGCGCAAGCGCACCGACGAAGGAGGAGAGCCGTGCATTCTCAGCCTTCTCCTCTGTTGCCTATGGCCAAAATCGCGCCACTTAAGGTCTCAGTTACAAGTGTCACGTAATAAACGCACCTCTGCGCCAAAGATGCTCATAGACATGGTGGAGAAAGTATTGGAAGTGGGAGACCCGTCGCGAATATCCCGAGTGCGCAAGCAAATATACTGGCCACCAAACGCAGCCTATATTCCCACGACAATATTCAATACTCGCCCCTACGCTAGGGTCAGATCTATCGAGGAAACACCGTTAACTCTGACCTCCACGTCGATCCCAAAGTTGCCCTTCCTCTACGCTCTCTCGTCCCGCATTTAATCGTATAATATCTCTTATTTTGCTTGGTCTTCGTCACTGGCGATGTCGGCTGGTGTCCGCGTCCGCAGAGCGACATCACCGCCTCCAAGTCTCATTTCCACTGCGCCAAGATTCCCCAACCTCAAGCACGACCACTTGGACGCAGATGAACGGAGAGCGGCAGCCTCTCGGGGATATGGGCCTGGCCGCAAGGGTCAGGGACACGGGCACGCCCCTGGAGGAGTGAACCTCGCGCCGGCTGAATGGAAGTTGCTTGGTGTCGTTGTGCTCATTGCCTTCGGGGTTCGCCTGTTTCGCATATCTCAGCCGGACAGTGTCGTGTAAGTGTTATTCTACAAGTCCCGAAGCTCATGGACCTGCTGGCTACGCCGAACACGTTCAAGTGCTGGCCAGCGGTCTACTGCGCGGCGCTCTCGCACTTGATCGTTACTAACCGCCCTTTGGATGTAGTTTCGACGAAGTTCACTTTGGCAAGTTCGCGTCAAGATATATCCATTCATCTTATTTCGTAGATGTGCACCCACCGCTTGCCAAGCTGTTGATAACCCTTGCGGGATTCATATTCGGTTATGACGGCAATTTTGATTTCAAGGACATCGCAAAGTTCGTCTAATCGCTCATGCCCTGGTATCCTCTGTTTGACCACTCAATTCAGACCATATGAAAATGTGCCGTATGTCGCGATGCGCCTTCTTCCCGCTTTGCTCGGTATCTTCACGGTCCCACTATCGTACCTGACACTTCGTGCCCTCGATTGCCGGGCGACAACCGCACTTCTGGGTTCACTCTTCATTACCTTCGAAAATGGCATGATCACGCAGTCACGACACATCCTCCTTGATTCTCCCCTCATCTTCTTCACCGCCCTGACTGTGTTCTTTTGGGTCGGCTTCTGCAACGAAGATAAACGCGAGCCCTTCACCGAGAGTTGGTGGGTCTGGCTCGGTCTAACGGGTCTTTCACTGGGCGCCGTTGTTAGCTGCAAATGGGTCGGTCTCTTCACCATTGCCACAATCGGTCTCGGAACGATTAAGCAACTGTGGGATCTACTTGGCGACCTGCGTGTCTCTCCGAGACTCTGGATACGGCACTTCATAGCTAGGGCCCTCTGTCTTATTGCCTTGCCCATTCTCTTCTACATGTCGATGTTCTGGATCCACTTCGCTATCTTGTCTAACTCTGGAGAAGGCGATGGTTTCATGAGCTCTGAGTTCCAACATACGCTGCGCGGACGTGGGATGCAGGACACCTATGCCGGTAAATACTGTCCACGGAGGCTCGAACATCGCTGACCGAATTGTAGATGTGGCGTTTGGATCTCAGGTCAGCCTTCGCCATGTCAACACCCAGGGAGGTTATCTGCACTCGCATGCTCATAATTACCCCGGCGGAAGTCAGCGTGAGTATCTTACTTAGCGCTTGTAATTCTACTTCTTATACCTCGAGTGCAGAACAACAGATCACTTTATACCCACACCGTGACTCCAACAATGACTGGCGCATCGTCAATGGCACCGAACAAGGAAACCCCTATGCTGACTGGGATGTTGATCCTATCCAATATGTTACCATCGGAAGTCGCATCAAGTTGCGCCACCTTACTACTGAGAAGTCCCTACACTCACACGACTACCGGCCACCGGTCTCGGATGTCGACTTCCAGCAGGAAGTTTCTGGCTACGGCATGCCTGGCTTTGTGGGTGACGCCAACGACGACTGGATTGTTGAAATTGTCAAAGGCGATCCTAAGGATCCCGAGTCCTGGAAACGGGTCAAGACGCTGAAAACTCATTTCAGGCTGAGACATGCTTTGACTGGATGTCATCTTTTCTCGCACAAGGTCAAGCTGCCAGACTGGGCATACGAGCAACAGGAAGTCACCTGCAATAAGAACGCTGTGATGGCCAACTCGCTGTGGTACGTTGAGACCGCCGAGCATCCTAACTGTAAGAGAATGCTGCACTTTCTATGTACATCCACTAAGCCGTCTATCGCTAGTCCCAGAAGATGCGCCGAAAGTCAACTACCGTAAGCCAGGCTTCCTTAAGAAGTTTCTCGAGCTACAGCAAGTTATGTGGACCACAAACGCCGGTCTCACCGACCGGCATACGTTCGACTCGAGGCCTGACTCCTGGCCTCGCCAGCGTCGCGGCATTGTGAGTGCGCATCCGCTATAGCTGGCCAATCATATTGAGCATGCTCGCAGAACTTCTGGGTCAGGAATAACCGCCAGATCTACTTGTTGGGCAACCCCATGATTTGGTGGCTTAGTACTGCATCGGTATTCAGCTACATCGCAGTTCGAGGCTTCTTGATTCTGCGCGCGAAACGCGGATGCCGTGACTTTGAAAACAGTGCGTCTTTGAGTGTAGTCCTCTTGCGTAGTATTGAGGTGTCTATGTTTTCTAGCAAAGGTGGTCAAATACGACTCGCTCTGCGGCTTCTTATTCCTCGGCTGGACACTGCACTACCTCCCATTCTACCTGATGGCACGCCAGTTGTTTTTGCACCATTATTTCCCCGCATTGTACTTCGCGATTTTGCTCGCGTGTGGCGTTTTTGACCTTGTCACTTCGACGCTCCGTCCACGCATCCGCCTACAGATCGCCGCTGTGCTGTTGATCGTCGCGATCTGGAACTATGTTTACCTCAGCCCGATCGTCTATGGCAACCCATGGACGAAAGCGAAGTGCAGGAGCGCACAGTGGCTCAAGACCTGGGACTTCTCTTGGTATGTATCATTTGAAAAGTGTTCGATACATCCCTGACCTTGTTTACTTCTTCCCCAGCAATGATTTCTTGGACTCCGTAAGTTGTCATCGCCTTCGTCTCACAGGCATTGACTGACATGGACTTCATAGTATTCACAATATAACACCATCGGCGCCGCCACGCCTGCGCCGTCCACTGCGATTCCCTCTGTGGGCGGACGAGGTGCTGTACAAGATATCCTCAACAACCACGTTGCTGCCGAGGTCGACACGACCGTCGTCGACTTCGGACAGGCCGAACCCGGGCGTGACATCTTTGACAAGAAGGTCGATGCGAAAAGCGAGGCGCATACGGTGGCACTCGAGGAGTCGAAGGGTGAGGTTACAGCTGCCGAGCCAGAAATGGACAGCCAGGAGGATGAGGAGCCGAAGAGCGAGACTGCAGCTGCTGAACCGGAGATGGGTAGCCAGGAGGACGAGGCAGAGCGGGCAAGGAAGGAGCTCTTCCCGGATGAGGATCGGGCATGAACTCGGTACGAACGTGTATGCGTCAAGAGATTCCATCGTAATACTGTATCGTGCCACTGCTCTTCACTATCTATTTAGGACTGTCGGACTCAGGGACTCGGAAACGCGGCTTGATTGTGTTCAATAAAAAACGCTCCACACCTAAAATTGTCGGGTGTCTGGGCGGGGTGCGGCGGGTCAAATCTCTCTTCGCTATGATATGTCCGGCCCGATCGAAAGTGGAGTCCTAAACTTTTCTTATTCTAACACTGATTTCTAGTGATACTGTTCTTCTGCTTAGTACGTAACTGCACATAGCCGTTGAGGGCATGCCTACTCTGCACTCTGCAGAGGAAGGTCAGCCACCGGCAGAAGGAAGTATAGGTACAACGTACTTTCAATATGCCACGGTCAAGCGTGGCAGATCATCTCGCCGTGCAACATAGCGAACCACCCATCCTCTGCCTGGCTCCAGCTTCTCCAAGCCTGCGACAGGCGCTCCAGGTCCTCAGCAGATGCACCCTCCCTGGCGGCACCCTTTGCAAAGTCAGACTTAACGATGCGGTCCGCCCAGAGCCCACCCCACCAGGCGCGCTCCTCCGGCGTGCTGAAGCACCACGTCGCGGCTGAGCAGGTGGTACGAGCAGGGTCAAAACCCGCTTCGCGGGCCCACGCCTTGATGCGCCGACCAGCGTCGGGCTCGCCACCGTTGCCCCGGGCGACGCGATCGTAGAGCTCGGCCCACTCGCGGAGACCCGAGTCAGGGAACCAGGTGAACGTGGCTCTGTCGCTCTCGCGTGAAGCGACGATACCACCAGGCTTAGCGACGCGGCGCATCTCGCGCAAGGCGAGTACGGGATCTCCGATGTGCTGCAACACCTGGTGCGCGTGGACGATGTCGAATGTGGCGTCTGGGAAGGGCAGCGCGTGGGCATCGCCCTGGAGGAAAACGACGTTCGTCGCTTCGCGCTCGGCGGCGTGCGCACGAGCCTGCTCGAGGATTTCGGCGTTGTACTCGATGCCCGTAACATGTCCTCCAGGGACATAGTTGGTGAAATCAGCGGTGATAGTGCCGGGACCGCATCCCACGTCGAGGACTTTGAGACCTGGCTTGAGGTGCGGGATGAGATAGGCGGCCGAGTTGTCGACTGTGCGCCATTTATGCGCACGGAGAGCAGACTCATGCGAGCCATGGGTGTATATTGCCTGTTTTTGAGCCGCCATCGTATGGTGGAGTGAAGGTGCACAGACAAGCAGCTGGTAGCGATACGAGTGTGGCGTTCACTTTGATCATCGCGCGCGCTGAAATAGGTTTCTCATCGCCGCGTAAAGTCACGGAGAGTCACGTATCTTGCGGCCCTGAGAACCTTAGGATGTGGCCGAGTATCATACTTAAGCTACGGCCCGGCTATACGCGGATGACTGTACTCTCTTACATGCATAATTGACCCACTCAAAGACAATGACGTGTTCGGGCCAATTCATGTACTCACGCTTACTTTATACACGTCTTTACTTTACGCGTATTCTCATTGTCTACTCGCGAGCCGAGCTCAGCAGCCCCGTGTGCGCCGTATTATTGCGTTCGATGTCGCTTTCACGCTGTTAAGACGAACGCTGATAAGTATTTCGTACAACGTAACCCCAGCTGTTCCTCAGGCCTCAGCAATCGTAACGTCATACTAAGACATGTATAGACTTTGTCGCGACTTTATTGCATGACTTTGCGAGATTGGCCAGTTTCGGCGCGCATTCCAGGACTTCGAACATATCAAGCCCGCTGCAATGGGCAGTAGTCCTAGAGATTAGGCCAAAGAACACTATCCTCGTTAGCTGCACCCAGGGCATAGAATGTTTTTTTAAAATGGAGCTGTTCAGTACAATACATCTTAGTATATCACTGCCCCGTAACGGCAGTCCCTTCGAGGCATCACAGCATTCGCGATCTGTGGAACATCGATTGGCGATCGTTCCGCAGCGCCGCCTTTCTCCAGCTTGTCCACTTTCTTCTATCACCTTTACTACATTACGCTCCTCACTTCAGCCATCTCACAACGGCTCCTACAATACAACTGCGCGCCATGAGCTCCCAGCAAGTTGCGACTGACCCAAACTACAAGCCTCCTCCTGGCCGCTTGGGCAATTTGACCCCGCAACAGCAGGAGGCTCTCGATAAGCTGCGCACAGAGATACAACAGGAGGAATGGTTTGTGTCAGAACGGATGGACGATCCCATGCTACTCAGGTACGCACACAGCCCTTTCGACTTGCGCGATGAGGGTGTTGCCCTACCACGCGACCACGAATTGACATTCATGCCAGATTTCTGCGGGCCCGGAAATTTGACGTAGTCAAGGCAAAGGAAATGCTCAAGAATGCCGAACAATGGAGGAAAGAGTATGGTGTAGACGACATCGTCGAGTGAGTATGCCTCGGCATGATAGCTGTCCCACCGTCCTCTGACGCTCCCTTGGCACAGGAACTTTGACTTTCAAGAAAAGACTGAAGTCGACAAGTACTACCCGCAATACTACCACAAGACCGACAAGGTGTGTTTACTCCGTGTCTCCGCTGAACATCACTGACATCGTGTCCTAGGACGGCCGCCCAATATATATTGAGAAACTAGGCAAGATCGATTTCAAGGCTCTCTACGCGATCACGACTATGGACCGCCAACTAAAGCGGCTCGTGTGGGAGTACGAGCGTTGCGTCACCGACCGCTTCCCCGCGTGTTCCCGCGCCGTTGGGCACCCGGTCGAGACGTCCTGCACAATCCTCGACCTCGCAGGCGTAACAATCGCTAACTTCTACCGCGTCAAAGACTACGTTTCCTCCGCGAGTTCGATCGGCCAGGACCGCTACCCGGAGACGATGGGCAAATTTTACATCATCAACGCCCCATGGGCATTCCACGCCGTCTGGTCCGTTATAAAGCCCTGGCTCGATGAAGTTACTGTTTCCAAGATCGACATCCTCGGGAGCTCCTACAAGGATAAGCTGCTCGCACAGATCCCCGCGGAGAACCTCCCCAAGGACCTCGGTGGCGCCTGCAGCTGCTCTGGTGGCTGCTCCCTCAGCGATGCCGGTCCCTGGCGGGAGAAGGAGACCGAGCAGTAGAGACGGGGGCGACGTTTTCTATTCGATGTACTGTAGCAGTTTAATGGAGTTTCGGATGACGTTACTTCTCTGTTCCTGTTTCTTTCACTAGCTCGCCATATGAGTAGGTACACAAGGGCTCATGCCAATGACTACTGAATACTGTAATCTTATTTGACAAAGGTGGATATGTTTCTTGGGGGTACAATATTCAGCGCGCTCTAGCAGAAACCTCTCGAGTCATCCGCTGTTTATTTTTCTTCATGCTACATGGTGGTTGGGGCGGTGCATATAGATACGTAGGTTAAGATGAGGCCGGGAGCTGCAAGTTGAGTCGCAGCAGGTAGATGGTACAATACCCAACATCCTGTGTGTGAGCAATTATGTGAGAGTAGGACGTGCAAGCTGTACGAGGGACTGGTGTAAGGGAGGGGTAGAAGTTGGGTAGTGCAGGTTGAAATGCAGGGTCGTGGTAGATGAGCGCAGAGAATATACACAATACAAGACGAAGAAGAATCAAAGGGGCTTATCCGAAACCCAGAGATCGTCCAAGATCGTCCTAGCGGGCCATTTTGACTCATACAATGTCCCAGAGCTCTTCGAGCGCACAACAGAACTGCAGAGTGTGAGCAAAAGCTGGACAGGAAAGACCATGACAAGTGACGCACCTTGCCACAGGCGACCGAGGCACTTAATGGGTAGTCGCTGATACTGATCTTTTGATCGACGACGCCGTCAGCGAAGTCATCCTTGCCTCGTGCCATGGCACCGACAAAGACAGCGACGGAATGCGTCTCAGGCAGCGTAGGCAGAAATTTGGACAGCCGGATAGTGGGAGCATCACCAGAAAGAGCTTTCTCGCAGATAAGTGGCAGACCCTCGGGATACTTCAGAGCACTCACTGAGCTTGATCGTGTTCACGGGCAGGTGATCAGTGACGGGATTCTGAACACATGATGAGCGTGTATTTGTAGTACAGGCTGACAGCAGGGCGCACCTTGATCACCTTGAGCAGCTTCTCAGGGCCGTTCTGGCCGCGAATGGAAAGCTTGTGAAGGAGTTGCACTGGAAGGAGAAGGTCAGCACCCTTACGCGAGCGCAGCTAAACTTTTTACGTACCCATGAGGCCACTGAATCGCTTGAACGTACGTGGTATTCTAACATGAGGGTTTACTTCGATGAGCACGCCCTTGGCGGTGTGGATGTAGATCTGGAGTAGGCCAGCTTTGTTAAGTGGGGAATCAAGGAGCGTCAAAAGGCACTGCAAATTGTCATCTGAGTCAAAGAGCAAGCACAACGAGGTTTATGATTCGCACCTGGTGTGTAATGTCGGGTCTAGCGTCCGCAATGTCCCTCCCGGTTTTCGCCAGAATGCCCTGGTGGTCGTCACAGTTGAGCAGGGCATACTTCACGTCTCCCTCCCTGCCATTCTTGCTGCGTCCGCCACTGCTCACACGGTATGCCTCCAGGCACGCCTGCTCAAGGATGACAAAAAGCCTCCGCTGGTTGGATGCAACGCCGCCCTTTGGTACGTGCGCCTGTACTGGCAGCATATGTGGGTTGGCGGGAGCGGGCATGGGGCTTTTGGATGGCATGATTGCGGCAGTTTTGCGTGCTCTGTTCTGAGGCAGCGGCTTGGTCGGTCGGTCAGCGTTAGTCTTGTTTTGCGAGAGAACAGTCACAGGGGACGTGGGAGAGGAGGAACGAGATGAGCTCGAAGAGTTTTCGTCGATCTGCATGCCTTCCTTTTCGAGCTCTGCCTGCTCGTCTTCGGCCAATCTCCTCCGCTGGTGCGTCCGTTCGTGTGCTGGCGTCGACTTGGGGCGTGGCGGAGCGTGCAACGACATGGTGCGAGCTTTCTCGGACGGTAGGGCGACTGGGCTGGCGATATCCCCAGAGAGGGACTGGCGACGCCGGCGAGCAGAAGTATCGACTTGCATTCTTCAGGCTGAACTGTAAATGATGAACAAGAGAGAAACAGCAACGAAAAAAGAAGAAAGGGATAGAGGAGAAGGAGGAAGTTGAGGAAAGAAAAGAGAGTTGAGTACTATAAACTTCTGCCAATTATACCGAAAGCATCAAAGCACATTTGACGCTAGCTTGATCCCCGTATTCCTGGCTCAAAGCTCGAACCTCATCCACGCCTGCGGACCAGTCTGGTCTATATCTTCGAAATGAAACCGAAAACTCATATTGTGTCTGAACTACGTCTTGAAACATGGTATAATGGCGTGGAAAGTTTACAGCCGGCGGCCTCCCAACTCGTAGGCCGGGTATTCCAAACCAAAGCAGACCGCCCGGATCGTGGGTAAAATCAGCTCACATGCCGTTTACAAGCAATACCTGAGGGCGGGTGCATTTGAACGAAGTAGATGTATGAGCGGAGATCATGCGTGATAGGGTCCTTCAACTCACCTTCGTTCACCGAAGTCGCCGAGACCAGGTATAATGTACGCCTTCTCGTTGAGACCCTGGTCTATCCAACCCGTGATCTGGGACCGAGGAGATGAGCCAAGCCAGCGTCGTGGGCTACTCACGGGCTTTTACTCACAACACGCGTGGCAGGGAAGCGGCCACAAAACGTCTTAAGTCCCTCGGGTGAGGAAATCTGTTGGACCCAACGGACGACCGACATTAGTGGCAGGGAAATTGCAGTTTAGACCGGTTAATCAGCGACTCTTTGGGCACCTTCAGTGACGTCCCAGTGTTCTCCATACTCCTAATTGGTCATTCATACGACACTGGCTATGCAGGCCTTCCGTGCATAAAAACTGTCGGCGTGGTGATGTGTACATCCGGCAACAGCCAAAAGAAGAAAGCAGCCAAGCGGCGATCCGCTCTGTTCCACTCCGCCAGCACCTACTGGTAGGCACAGTAGGAGCTTCCACGGCACAAGTCTGTGCATGTGCTCGTTTTTGGCAGATGTACACATCAACACGTACACTACCGCAAGCGAGGCCACCTACCAGGTTGACGAAAATGATCCGCTCTTCTGGCACGCCGTGCTCCTTTAGCACCTCTACTGCCTTAATGGCAGAACCGCCGGTCGCTATTGCGAGATTGAACGGCTCTGCACAAGAGAAATAAGTGAAGCACGTACCTAGCATCGGATCCAGGAGAAGCACGTAGCGCTGCGCGATGTCCTGCGGGAACTGTACAGCAACAAGCTTAGCATACGGCACCAGGCGGGCCAGGGGCACGCACCTTCGAGTAGAACAGCTTTGGCTGTGCCGTCTCTTCATCCTGCAGGGAGTGAGCACAGTCACAGGCGGGCAGGCGTCTCCAGTAGACGCATACACACCCTTTGGATGAGGATCTTGCCGATGCGCACGCTGCGGCAGACCTCGCGCAGGCCGGCCTCCATCGCCTTGCGGCTCTGTCAGTCACCTCGTTTCTGTTTACGCGAACACGAGCACGCACCTCGCCCGCGCGTAGGATAGACACGCCACAGATTTTCCCCTCAAAGCCGACCCCTTCGTAGACGGCCCCCTGTGCACGAGGCTCAACGTCACGCACACGAGCAAGGCAAAGGAGCAAGCACACCGTTGGCGTTTCGACTGTCTTTGGGATTACTGGCAGATGGTTCAGTCCCTCCTCGACCAGAAGTCGGATGATACGGTCGGAGTAAAACAAAAAGTCTCCTCTGCTTGTGTTCTTGTCCCTGATGATTGTGTAAAGGGCTTCAAGTTGAGCGGTCTGAGGTAGCGTAAAGACGTTAGGTGGGAGGGAGGCAGGAGTACTTTGGGAGGAGGGCGCATGTTGGACAACCATGAGGCAGAGTTTGTGAGGACAGTAGATGAACGTCGGCGAGTTGTCTGGGACTGCGACGAGGGGTGTGAGGAGTTGTGATAATAGGGCCTGGCCAAGACCTGCTAACCGACTCTATCAGCAGTGCACGTTAGTATAGCCTCCGACGATCTCGTGACATTCGGCTCCGTACCTGGTTGAAGCTCGTGTGAGTGTCGAAGATGACACCGGACAAAAAGCCGCAACTCACGCCCAGCGAGGTACAGCAAGGCGCTAGCCTTACCGCTCCCATTAATATTCTCGTTTGCGCACGCACACACACACACATCGACTCGAGTCCGTACCAGTAGTATATTGATTTACAAATTCCGTAATACTTCTTCGCGTTCAACTATGTAAAACCGCACCTCACCCAACACGGGAATACGGCAAAACAGAAGGTGTCAAGATAGAGCCGAAACCGTGCACTGGAACTAGAGGAAAGGTGACCGAGGGCGTAACGTAGCGTATGTGGATTTCTACTGCATCGACTTTCATTAACCTCTCCATCACTTTTCGTGCGGCGCTTAGAAGCACTCTGCGAGGCCTAATTAGCAGCGGTAATGACGAGACGCAGAGAAGGATACGTACTGCGGTGAACAATACCAGGGCCAGACTCGTCGTATTCCTGCTTCGAGCACCAGAGGTTCTGGAAAGTAGACAGCGACGCGAGAATGGAGCCACCAATCCAGACAGAGTACTTGCGCTCAGGAGGAGCAACGATCTTGACCTGTGTTGCCGTGCAGCATTAATAGCTAGTCGATCGCGTTTAAACTCATCAAGACTAACCTTCATGCTTGAAGGCGCCAGGGCAGTAAGCTCCTTTTGCATACGATCAGCGATACCCGGGAACATGGTGGTACCACCGGAGAGGACGATGTTGCCGTAGAGATCACGACGAATGTCGAGATCGCACTTATAGATGGAGTTATAGCTACACTTACATGTTAGCTATAGGCTCAGGGCCATAGATGATGATGCTTACGTCGTTTCATGAACACCCGCAGCTTCAAGACCCAAGAACGCAGGTTGGAAGAGGGCCTCTGGCGCACGGAAACTGACCAATCGCAGATAAGCATTCTTAGCGCCCGATCGGACCGGAAACCATAACATACCGTTCATTGCCAATGGTAATGACCTGACCATCTGGGAGCTCATACGACTTCTCGATAGCGGACGATTGCGCAGCAGTCTGGAGCTCCTGCTCGAAGTCGAGTGCGACGTAGCAGAGCTTCTCCTTAATGTCACGGACGATTTCGCGCTCGGCGGTGGTGGTGAAGGGGTATCCGCGCTCCATCAGGTTCTTGACGAGCAGTTCCGTGAGATCACGGCCAGCGAGGTCGATACGGAGGATAGCGTGGGGAAGCGCGAAACCCTCGTAGATGGGCACCACGTGCGTGACACCATCACCGGAGTCGAGGACGATACCCGTTGTACGGCCGGAGGCGTACAACGACAGAACGGCCTGAATGGCGACGTAGAACGCTGGTGCATTGAAAGTCTCGAACATGATCTGAGTCATCTTTTCACGGTTAGCCTTCGGATTAAGAGGGGCCTCCGTGAGAAGGACCGGGTGCTCCTCTGGCGCGACACGAAGTTCGTTGTAAAAGGTGTGGTGCCAGATCTTCTCCATGTCATCCCAGTTGGTGACAATACCATGCTCGATGGGATACTTGAGGGTCAAGATTCCACGTTTCGACTGGGCCTCGTCACTGGTAGCGGGAATAAGGAGGAGGATTAACGATACTAGGCCTGCTTACTTACCCAACATAAGAGTCCTTCTGACCCATTCCCACCATCACGCCCTGGTGGCGAGGACGACCAACGATGGATCTGTGGGCCTATGTTGACACGTCAACTCTGAGACAGTAGCGATATACTTACGGGAACACAGCACGGGGGGCATCGTCACCTATGACGAGCACTCAGAACATGATCTACGCGTAATGGACAGTGGTTGAGCATACCAGCGACTGTATGGGCATAAAATTAGTGGGGATCGCAGCGAGAGGGGAGAAAATACGTACAGCCAGCCTTGCACATGCCGGAACCGTTGTCAATAACCTACGCGATCGCGGAGGGTGAGACTTGTACAAATCGCGCTCAAAACCAGCCAGTGTACGTACAAGAGCAGCGACTTCGTCCTCCATTGTAGTGTACTAGTCGATTGGGTTGATGTAGAAAGTGATGTGTGCTGGGATGTCCTATGACGCGGCGTCCCGGTTTAAGTAGAAGGACGGATGATGGCGGTGCAGATGGCGCAGCAAAGCGCAGGTGCGGTGACAGAATGTCAGTATGGGGCTGCGGAACGTCCAAGACAACGAGTAGGACACTTCACCGACCTTGTGCAACGAAGCGAGCGATGAGGGGCTTGGGCAAAGGGCGATGAGCTGTGCTTTCGCCAGCATACGCTACATCAATTCCTTATCGGATCGACTTTAGGGCAAGCTTAGGCGCACTTCGCTACATTTCCGGAATTCATCCCCTGGCCCGTATCATGGCAACCCAGGTAACGAGTAAATAATGATGCCACAGACTTGCTCCACCCGCTGAAGCCGTGCACACTCGCCGTGGTCAAGCTGAAAAGGCTGAGCTGTGCAACGCACCCTCTGTGAAGGTGCCAAGCGGCAGCATCACCACGCAGGGCATCTCTTGCTGCGCCGGACGGCCTTGGTTTGAGAAAAACATAGGCCCATACACTGCGCAACGTTAAAACGAGGCGTGAAGAGTGTTGGATCTTGGCGGGACAGAACGTCCCATGGAGCCCGTAGGCGTCTGCTTCTGGGGGACCAATGCAGCCCACACCGACAGCGCTTTGCGCCGTCTCTAAGCCACCTATCGCTGCGGAAACTTTCCACGCATGTAACATGCGACGCAGTCTCCGGCAGCCGGTATGCTGTCAGCCCCAACACCAGTGGCGACACGATCAGGACCGGCGCAGACATTCATCCCAATAGCAGGAGTATCAATATAACCCTATGTTGCCGGTAACGCTACTTTTGGCATGAAGTGACAGCAGTGCGATATTTGTAGTAGTACAGATATAATGCATGAGTGAAGAGACCAGTAGTACGACGACATGCAATTGAGAAACCGTATTTGCATACTAGACAGAAGGTCCCCTCATGTGCCCTCTCGAATGCGGCGGCCGCAGAAACCGAGTATCGGACTGCTCACTCAGCCGCGCATAACTTTCATCACGCCCGTGCTCGTGTCCGGGGCTCGTCTTCGAGTTTGACGACCGCCGACGTGTGACCGACTCAACGACTTCCCGCAGACTGGGCTTCGACGACACCGCAGCACCGTACACGGTATTCCACAGCGATCTCTGGCTTGATGTTGTCTTGGAGCGTTGTAAGGGGCTCGAGGGTCCCTTAACCGTCGCTTTGCGGCGTGGTGGCTCAGGTGGCGGCGCGCACACGATCTTCTGCGAGGGCAAAATATCGTGGAACGACGTCGCCGACGTCCATGACTCTGGAACGCCTTTGACCTTCGTCTGCAGCCGCGGCGGACTGTTGGGCATCAGCCGTATCGGCTCATCATCTGCAGCTGGGAGGTTAGTGGGAGGTAGGAGGTCGCACGATTGGCGAATACCTTGTCCCTTCTGCGGCCGCGAGATGAGGGTGAGCGTGCCTCCGTACTCGTTACCCTCGTATATGCAACCATCGCTGTCGCGGAACGTGTAACGTTGTGTATCTGAGTCATAGCCTATGCGTTCCATCCCGGCGGGCATGTGAGGCTGCGCAGTGAGCCTAGCACGTCAGCCTCCGCTGTCGTTCGGTCGCAGGGGAGCACTTACACCATCGTCTAGCCAGCGTCCCATGTCTGGATGTAGTGGTAGAGGAAGAGTTCGTCGTGGGTAATACCGAAGTCGCAAGTGGGACCGAGACCCGACCCGGCGTTCTTTGGCCTTTTTATCTTGTCCATGCGTGTAACTTGTCCATGCGTGTAACACCGACCGTACAGTGTGCTCAGGAGCAAGGCTGTGTAAAATGCTACCGGCAACTATGAGACATATTGCCTAGCTTTTCCTAGCACCGGTGATACCACTTGTTGCGTAGACCAAAACTCGAAGTGATTCAGAAAAAATACCGAGTTCAATGGCGCTAAGAGGGGCCAAGTGATGGCAGCCTCTCAATGTAAAGACTTAAGCGAAGACCCCATGTACTCCATACCGTCGTCGATTATGCGACAGGTGGACCGCAGGAAACATGAGAGGGCAATGTATGTCAGAAGATAGAGGGTGTTAACAGAGTTTTTCCCCAAGGGTCGCACAGGGGCGAGGGCTCGGAGACATTCCAAGACATACGCGTGCAGTGATGCGAGACAAAAGGGGTTGAGACACGAGATGCGCATTGAAGTTGCAAGTGTTGACACTCATACGAGCAGCTATGGACCCTGCGCATGCGCTTACAGTCACTCAGAGTAGACTACCAGAGCAGGATCTCTAACGGTGGATCAGCATGTTGGCAGTGTGGATGGCTCACTTGCGTATATATCTTCTCTCGACTACCTCTGGAGAATAGAAGGACACTTACATTTCGGCATCTTTGTCGAAATGTTCGGCCCACATATAACCGTGCAATTAGTCTTGTTTGACTTACCCTGAGACCCCTTCGAGGCCTCGGTACGCAGCATGCCGGCCGGAAGCATCTAAGCAGCATTGTGCCGCCAGTAAGCCTGCGTGCTGTATGCCCACTTTGCAACGTATGGGAGGACGAAGTTCACCAGATGTAGATTGATATACCTTGTTACATTACTGCCTACCACAGAAATATACTCTGAAGAAGCCTGAGCGAGGCATGCGTGTGGTCGTCCGAGCGCGCGATCCTGGTAAGTGCATCGAAATGCCTCTTTGGCTGCGAGGATCCATGGCCCGGACCTTCGCCTCAGATTGATGCACTTCAGCTGGCAGCAAATATTGAAATTTGAGAGACTTGCTCACGCGCGTTGTTTGAACTCAGAGACACAACCTGCAATTATCTAAAGCTGGTGGCAAGCACTGGCCACGTGTCGTACAGCAACCCTCCACACCGAAGACTCTACACTGGATGGAGCTGTCTCCAGGGTACTGCGAAGAATGGGCGACACCCCGCACTAGTGACCGAGTGTCAGCAACTAACAATCCAACTGGACTGAGCTACGACAAAGCTGAGGAGACGGACGAGAGGATTGTGAGTGAGGAAAGACCAGCTCGAGTCTGGCTTGTTATTGAGCAGTACGAGCTCCTTATATACATGTCAGACTGAGTATCTAGAATATCCCACAAATATACAAAGGTGTATAGAAAGCGAAAGAACACTATGGAATCCGGGAGAACCATCCGGAATGTGTAATATTCATGACATTACCCTCCGTCTAGAATCGTGTCCTCACGATTATTGCCCGGTCGATCCAAAGCCTCCCAATCCTCGTTGAGTTTCCGTTAAACTTGACACCTCCTCGATATCGCATGATGCAATGCGTTCTAAAATGACTTGTGCGATCCGGTCTCCGGCGTGTATCAGGAAGGGTTGATTGGTGGAATTGATCAACACTACGCGTACTTCTCCAGTGTAATCTCGATCTACGACTCCAGCCCCAACATCTATCCCTTTGACTGATAACCCACTTTGTGGCGCAATTCGTGCATAAGTTCCGTGGGGAGCGCGCATTGCTATACCGGTGCTGACAATCTTGCGATCTCGTGCTAGTATCTTAACGCTTTCAGCCAAGTAAAGATCAAACCCAGCAGATTCTTCGGATCCTTGCTTCGGGAGAATCCCACCCATCCATTGTATCAAAAGAGTGGTATCACGCGTGAGTATGTGAACAGGTCGTGTTAATAGAGGGGGGATTCAAATCATCATGGGCGCGGGTTTGTCGGGACGTCTAGCATGGAATTCCTGAAGGAGTTCTTAACAATTGGTCAAGTTCGCCCGTGATTCCCAGGAACGGCGATCGCCGTGGGGGCTGTTCTTCCAGAGCACCTGATACTCTAGGTTTCCGTTCCGATCACGTCGTGAATCAAGAATGTCTTCGACTTCCCATTCTTCTTCGCCATTTACGAGGTCAGGGACTATCAGTTCTTGTCGTTGTGAGGGATACGTAGGTTCTTTGAAGGGACTAAGGAGACTCTCATTGAAAACGGGGTGTTGTTTCCATTGACGCGGGAGTTCTAACTCGTAGGCAGAAGCACCGACTTTGCGTTTGACCTTGAAGGGTCCATATTGCTTATCGTCGAGCTTTTTCATTGGCCTGTCAGTTCGGATGTTCATCCCTTCTAGCCAAACTTTATCTCCTACTTTGTACTCCGATCCGCTCTTCCTCTTTCTGTCATAGAAGCACTTCATGGTTTCCTGCGCTAGACTGATAGCCGCGCTAGTGTCCTCACGTACTCGATCCATTCTATCGACAAACTGTTGGACGTTTTCACTTAGTCCTTCTCGCACTGGTTGGGTTCCTTCATAAGGGTGATACCCTTTATTGACGAAGAATGGAGTATACCCAGTGGACAAATGAACTTTATTGTTATATGAAAAGGCCGCGAGTGGTAACCATTCGGCCCAATCTGCTTGTCGGTAGTTAATGAATAATCGGATATTGTTCTATCTCGCGATTGATGCGTTCCGTTTGTCTGTCTGTCTGGGGTGATACGCGGTTGAGGGGTTGGCTTTGATTCCGAGGGATCAGTATAGTTCAGAGATAAACTGATTCTTGAATTCAGTTCTCCTATCGCTGATAATCTTTCGAGGTAATCCATGATGTGCGACTACGTTATCTCGGAGCGCCTTTGCCCATCCTTCGGCGTTAAGCTCAATGGTACTTGGTATCGCGATTATCTGCTTAGAGTACATGCAGACAATTACGAGGATGGCATTGTACCCGAATGAGTCGGGTAATACGCCTATCTTGTCCACGGAGATTACTTCCCAGGGTCGCGAAGGAATTTCGTTTGGGAATAGAAGTCCAGTAGGTCGTGTCGTATGGACCTTGGTTTTCTGGCATTTCTTGCATCCGGCCATGTATTTTCTGATATCTTCTCGAATTCGGAGCCACCAGTAGTTACGCGTGACCATTTCATGCGTTTTGTATTGACCAGGGTGTCCAGCCAATGGGGTATGATGATGATGAGCAATGATTTGCTCACGGAGGTTTCTATTTACCGGTACATAGATACAATTCTTCCATGTCACAAGTCTGGTACTATCTTCGTCCCAATCTTTGTCCTTGTTCTGTAAAGCTACGGTAACTAGCGAATCTCGGTTCTTTTTGTATTTTTATAATTTCTGCGACCCAGTCTTGGTCAATTCCTTCTAAACTAAATACCGTACTACAAATCAAGGCACGAAAATGTTCTGGTTTTAGTAACACAATATCTGAATTGTTTTCTTTTCCTGCATTGTACCTCTTTTGGCGAGATAATCTGTCCGCTTTGCCATTAGATTTACCAGGCTTGTAATGCAACGAGTATTGGTATTTGGCTAATTCGATTACCCATTGGGCCTGTCGCTGGTTGAGCTTCTGTGGCTTTCAGAAGTATTCTAGGTTCTTGTAATCTGTCCATATTTCAAACGGATGTATGGCGCCCATGAAGTACTGACACCACTCATCAAGACTAGTCATGATCGCGAGAAGTTCCTTATTGTAAATCTCGTAATTTCTTTCGGCAGCTGTCATAGCTTTAGACAGGTAAGCAACAGGCTTCCATTTGCCGTCTTGCTTCTGGGCTAATTCTGCTCCTACGGCAAAGTCCGAGGCGTCGCATTCTACTTGATATGGGTCGTTGTCATTGGGTATGGCTAGCACTGGTGCTGTGCAGAAAGCATCTTTCAGGTTTGTGAAGGCTACTTCTTGTTCGACGGTCCATTCGAAAGTAGCATTGCCTGTTAGCGAACTGAGTGGTTTTGCTATCTTGCCATAATCTTGGATGAACCTTCGGTAGAAGTTGGTAAATCCAAGGAATGCCTGAATGTCTCGTTTGCACTCGGGCCGCGGCCAATTGACAACTCCTTCTATCTTAACTGGGTCCATGCGAACAACTCTTTTTCCTACTATCATTCTGAGGTATTCAATCTCTGCCTTCTCGAACTCGCACTTTTCCGGTTTCAGATAAAGTTTGTGTTCTCTTAGGATCTGAAGAACTTGCTGCGTGATTCGACGATGTTCTTTCAAATCTTGAGTGAAGATCATGATGTCATCTAGATAGACTACCACGTGTCCTTGACTAATGAGATCTCGAAATATATCGTTCATCATAGTTTGGAATGTAGCCAGGGAATTGGTGAGACCAAAGAACATGACAAGTGGTTCGAATAATCCTCGATTTGTTAAAAACACCGCCTTCTCTTCGTCTCCTTCTTTGATGCGAATATTGTTGTATCCCCATCGGACGTCTAGTTTTGTAAAGTACCACGCCTGCTTTAGCTTGTCCACTAGTTCCTGTATCAGGGGGAGTGGGTAGCGGTTTTTAATCGTTAGCTCATTCAGCTTTCGATAATCTTGTACGGGTCGAAGTTGTCCATCTTTTTTCTTGACAAAGAAGAAAGGAGAAGCCCATGGAGATTTTGATGGTTGAATTCTCCCGGTTCGGAGGTTCTCTTCTATGAACTCATCAAGTTCTTTTTGTTCGTTTACAGAGATAGGATAAACTTTGCAGCTGATTGGTTGCGCGCCTGGTGTAAGTTTGATTGCATGGTCCCACGGTCGTCTTTGTGGTAAAGAATCAAAGTCTTCTTTGCTAAATACATCGGAGTAGTTGTGATAGTGACTCGGGACGGTATTTTCAAAGGTCTTGGTTTCGTGTTTCAGACTTTCTTTGATCACTAAATCAGTGGCTGTGGTACGAATGCGTGCTGCTCCCATCGCGAAGTACGTTTCATGGTCTAAAATGAAGATTCTATCCCCTTCTTCTAGGCGAGCCTCTGGATTGCTGGGCTCCTCATGATCGGCATCAATATCAATTGATCGGACGGCGTATTTGCAGGTAATCAGACACCGATCAAACTGAATGATCTGTTCCTGCCAATCAATAGATGGGTTGTGAATCTGTAACCATTCATATCCAAGGAAGATTGGAGTCTTCCCTAGATTGGTAACGGCGAACGGAAGTCTTTCAACATGGTCCTGAATTTCCACTCTCATTTCGACAAAGTTGGTGATAGCGCCGCCGGCATTGTGCGTGCCATCTGCGTTATAGACAGGGATTGGTGATGGCAGTTTCTTTGTAGGAATGTTATTGTCGCGAACATACTGCGCATCAATTGACGATCCAGTGCATCCTGTGTCTAATAACACTTTAACTGATAGGCGCTGCTGTGTGTCCAGGGTGGTGATGATTATGGGAACGTCCATCTGTGTCCCCTTCCTTTCTTGGATAAATTGAGGCTTCTTTCGTAATTCATTCAAGAAGTCTATTGCTTTTTCTTCATTCATCTGCCTGATTTGGTTCATACAGGCTTCGGAGGCATCAACACTCTTCTTTGAGTGTACCCATTCTGTCAACAGTCTGAGTGCTGCCGCGTTTTTGCTGATTATCCATTAGTGGATCCAAGCCGCCGTCCAAGGTGTGTGGCGCTGCCACTGCGTAGGTTCGGTCTGATGTTCTGGTGTAGATGACAATTTTTTATTTGGGGGAATTAAGCAAGAGGGTTGAGCCTCTCCGCGCCGCTCTGCAGACGCCCCTTTTTCTGGTATATACATAGCTACTCCAAACCAAGAACACAGATAATTTGTAAAGTTACGTTTGGTCAACTCGGCTACACGCCCGGCTGACCACTTGCAAAACCCTTCATAGCCGCACGAATTTCTTCGCGAATTGCCGTCTTCCAATCAAATGGTTCTGCCGTTGCGGCAGGAGCTTCTTGGAGCGATGCGAGGGGCGTGAATGCATTGGTGGTAGGCACTACTGGGGTTTCTGCGGCTCGTACTTGTTGAGCTTGTTGCCGATTAAAGCAATTACGCGAAAGATGTCCCTTTTCTCTGCATCGGAAGCAAAGACCCAAGCGTCGTGCCTGATCTAGCTTCATTGGCTGGCCTCTGCCGCCGAATGTGACGCCTGTCCCATCGCGACGTGTCTGGACTGGGGCACTTGCAGTAGGCGCGGCTACGTTAGCCTGTGCTCATGGCGCACTTTGTGCCTGCTGCTGCCGAGGCTGAAATTGTCCTTGCCGCTGGGATTGTGGGTTTCATTGACGGTACTGCTGCTGGTTCAGGTCGATGCGTGCGACCTGTTGTTTGTAGAGCGCGTATGTGGCGGAGAGTTCTTCCGATGAGTTGTACAGAAGCCGAATGATATCGGCCCGGAGTGCTTTTTCTAGAAGCGACTTGAGTTCCTGGAAGTGCGCTTCGAAGTTGTGAATATTCGCCTGGAAGGCGCACAACTCAAATTTGGAGAAAAACTCCTGTGCCGATAGCGCTCCCATCTGCATTGCTTGCAGTCTATTGTACGCTTCTGCCTGTTCGTCAATAAGGAAGTGTACGTCTAGATCTTTCCATAGATTGCTGGTAGTCTGAATCACGGTATCTTTGTCCATGTCGTACTTCATGTATGTGGCAACGTATTCACCCGCATGTCCACCTTTCATGTATGACAAGATCATAAGGACCCTGTCGAATTGCTCCGGTAGCCGCTTCCTTTGCGTGACTACACACAATTTCATTTGTGTCTTCCAAGCGATGTACTTGGATTTTGTGCTGTCAAAGGCGTCAGGTTTCATTGCGCTTCCATTTAGGAACGCGGCACTATCCTGATTCTCGGCCATCGCGCCGGGATCGGATGGAGATGAAGGTGGTGTGGGAGAACGTCGGGAAGGTGGGTTCGAGGCTTCCAAATCTTCTACCGCTTCTTCTACAGGGTTTGGTGGGCCCTCTGGTGGTGCTTCGGATTCTCCAAGAGCGATCGAATGGAGATGATCGGTGACTGATTCGAGGGTATCTCTTCTGGTTCTGGGTTCTGAACTAGATGCTACGGGTTGTGAAATTGCGAGGGATTCTGAAGGTGCTCCTGTGGGAACTCTTTGTAGCAGTTTTCCACGTAGTCTTTCTCTACACCAAGGACAGCGACTAGTATTGTCCGGGAAGTGTGGGCACAGCTGTTGCGCACAGTATCGTACATTATCTCCGCGTACATAGATAGATCTCTCCTCTAGTTCTCGGTGCGTATGTCCTCTACAATCACAGGAAGGTGTGGTCATAGGTTGTCGGGTCCGTGGAGCTTATCTTGCAGCAACTCTGGGACCAATCGTGTTGGAACGACCGGATCAGAGGTAGAGTTTGCCAAGATAGGGAAATGGTTGGTGTATGTATGGAATTTCGAATTTTTACAGTTCTAAGATATAGTTCAAAGCCCCAAGAGAGCAATTACGTCTCTCTTGATCCGACGTCTGGGGTAGGGATCGCCGATACAAAGCTTTGTCTCTCTTCCGACGCCCAGCCTCAGCCGGTTGCCACGTCGTACTCAGGATAACTGTGTGCACTGCGCAACACGTTTAGCGCCAGCTATGGTAGGCCGGGGCATGAATCCAATACAAACACGACCTGGTCGAGCTCCAACGGAGCAAGGGATTACCAGGGATCAGATAAGGAGGTGGTTATGTGCAAGTGCACGGAAAAAGGTTCCCGGGGTCTTGATGCAGTAGAGTTGATAGGGTTAGGATTGGGGTGAGATTTCGGTTGGGTGAAATGAGATGGATCGTCGTGTGGAGATGGGTGATGGTTGGTGTGAGAGTGACAAAGATCGTTGTAGGGCAGTTGGTGGAGACTCGAGCTAATGTCAGCAACTAACAATCCAACTGGACTGAGCTACGACAAAGCTGAGGAGACGGACGAGAGGATTGTGAGTGAGGAAAGACCAGCTCGAGTCTGGCTTGTTATTGAGCAGTACGAGCTCCTTATATACATGTCAGACTGAGTATCTAGAATATCCCACAAATATACAAAGGTGTATAGAAAGCGAAAGAACACTATGGAATCCGGGAGAACCATCCGGAATGTGTAATATTCATGACACCGAGTCTCTGTGGAGAGCATGGCTGCGGAACGCCAGCAGCTTGAATATTGTCCTGGGGGAGATTAAGGAAATCGCAGCTCCAGTCTAGCGATTTCGCGGCTACAATTAGGCAAACACTGTCTCCAACAATATCTAAATCATCTATCCACTGCATAGACAGCCATCCGAGTCTACTTGCGTGACTGTCCAAAACGATGGTACCAAGCACGTGGTCGAGAGCGTCTGTGAACGCGTCTCCGGCGCTTAGGTATCCGACGCGTCAGCGTAATTCCATCACTTGTTCCCGACGCTGACCTCCGCGTCCCATTCTCATTTTCCCTGCCGTTCTACCTGACGACGTCTCACGATCATGCCACTCGAAGCGACCATGATAATTATTGATACATCTGAATACATGCGGAACGGCGACTACCAGCCCGCACGCTTCGAGGCCCAGGTTGACGCAGTCAATACCGTTTTCCAGACCAAGGTGGACTCCAACCCGGAGAACCTGGTTGGGCTCATGACAATGTCGGGGAAGAGGTGGGCTGTGACAATGCTTAGGCTATGTCTGCGTGTTAATACTTGCCACAGCCCAGAGGTACTCGCGACGAATACCAAGGAGCAGGGCCAGATCCTGAATGGCCTGCATGCGGCCCAAAGCAAGATTGGTGGCGCATCAGACATCCCCACAGCCATCTCTGTAGCGCAACTTGCTCTGAAGCACCGACAGAACAAGAACCTCAGGCAGCGCATCATCGTCTTCATCGGCTCACCGCTTGTTGACCAAGGCGCGGATGAGAAGAACATGGTCCGCCTTGCTAAGAAGCTGAAGAAGAACAGCGTTGCAGTGGACATTGTAGCATTTGGAGAAGCTGTCGAGGACGCCTGCGCTGGCGTGCTGAAGGCGTTCATCGAGAACGTATCCCAAGGCGAAAACTCGTGAGTAACTCCACTCGGCAACGCGCTCCTATGTCACGGCTTATGCGCCACCAGACATCTTGTTACAGTAGCACCAGGGCCGCACCTCCTCTCCGATATGATCATCTCGTCACCCATCCTTGCCGGGGACCGCGGCATACCAGAAGAGATTCTTGCTGAGACCGGCGGCGCGGCTAGCGGAGCTGCTGGTGGCTTCGAGTTTGGCGTGGACCCGAGTCTCGACCCCGAACTGGCCATGGTGAGTCTGCTTGGCATGTCTATGCGACGACGACAGCTCACATACATCAATGAAGGCTCTCCGAATGTCCATGGAAGAGGAGCAAGCACGGCAAGCCGCTGCGGCGGCGGCCGCCGCCCAAGCTGGTCAGGGCAGCACTGCTCATGAGGGAGCTGCTGTGCAACCTCCATCGGCACCAGAATCCACCACGGTGCCGGCTGAGCCAGCGGATGACGAGGAAGAGGCAATGCTTCGGCAAGCACTTGCCATGTCGCAGGGCCAAGATGTGGAAATGCAAGGCGATGGCGATGAAAATATATCCGAGGAAGAGGCGATTGCAAGAGCGATTGCGATGAGCATGAAGCCGCAAGAAGAGCAGCAGGACAGCAAGGACAAGAAATAAACAGTTCCCTCTTCTCCACGATTCTTCCCAGCCTCGCTTGTCGTATGTCATGTAGATTTATCATTCTTTCCCAGCAACCACATGCACAGGATCTTCATGTCCCTTCGGACAAATGCTTTACATGAGGGGCACATTCCACGGATTTCCCTCTTACTGAGCGCTGCAGTTGCAGCTGGATGACCGAAGACAGGACGCCAATTAATGTGAACAACTAGGGTGCCTTCCCTTGCTTGAAGTAAAACCTAGCGAATGCCCGCCTTAACTCGGCCCTTGGATATACGTCAGAGCTTACACAATGGTATCGATCAGTGAGCTCGTGACGGCGTGCAAGCATGAACGTTAGGCGCTTATCTTGAAATAGTACTTCTGAATGGCGACACCTACAGAACACCGTCTCAAAATTCGATGACACCGCGTGCGGATCCTTTGCTCACCTCTTTGCGGACTTGAGTATACCCATGCGAATTACCCGGTCATTCGTTAGGGTCGGTGTGGCGTTCATCTCCGTCGCAGCATGGCAAACGCTGATGCCCGTAACGTCGTGCATGCAGCCGTCGTCAGATCTGATGCGGCCAGTCCATCCACGCCAGACGAGGGTCCGAAGCACACAAAAAGGTGCTAGAGTTTAATGGACTTGAAGACTAGGCATTGAGCGGAGATCGATGACGAGCCGATAATACAGCATGTTCAGGCCACAGACCCTGCACCAGTAGGATAACCTCTGCATTCTATCCAGGGTCCAGCTTCTGCCAAGGAGTTTGATTATGATACGATCCCCTAAGAGCACGCGCCGCCGTATGAACACGCAGTGCGGTTAGTCCTGGACCGAGCTCGGAGAGAGAGCCTAGTCACTGCCCCAGATTTTGAGGTACACGCGTTTGTGCAATCATGGGCGCGTCTGCAGATTCTGACGGGGGTTGACAGCTCGGAGATGGAGGGCATGTCTGTTCAGCCGTTCATGTCGCTGTTGCCGCACACTACGCTGCAAGGTATATTCTGCACGTTCCATTTTTACACCCAAAGCTAAAGTCGAGTTTCGGTAGCGAGCAGCCAACATTCGGAATAAGAGAAGGTGGTACATCTAAAATTCGAACTTCTTGTGCAGATGGACGAACGCAGCCCTATATGAAAGAGGCGCATCGATCGTTCAGCGGGGTCAATCACGGGTAGAATGAGCACATGCTCACGCGTCGTTGTACGCTCCGGTATCCGAGGTACCGGTGGGGTGCGACGCATCTTCGACGAAAGCGAAGAGAGTCATCGTGTCGATGCCGCCTTCACTGGCTCTGCCCTGATCGTTTTGTTCCTGGCCTGCCTATGTGGCATTGGCCATATTTAATGAGTATCCCTGCAGAGAGCATCTCGCAGTTGCGCTCACCTTGACGACGAAGATTCCGTTGGAGGGTGTCTCTCCGCTCGCCCCACGAGAGAAGAAGAATTCAACATCCACGTTCGAGGAGACATCCTGCGCTGGGATGGATAGAGAGTCACTCCCATTTCCGTCCAGCTTCATCGGCTGGTTTGCCACACGCGGTGGACTGGTGAAGACACTCTGCCTGGATCCCATCACATTGTAGGACACACGCATGGACTGCGCATAGTCTCTGTTCGCAGTCTCAACGTCCAACGCAGCATTAAGTCCTCGAGCAAGAACGAAGATCATGTGCACTTACGGAAGAAACGACTGCATACCAAGCAGACGGGACGGTGAAGGAGAGCTTGTTTCCGTTCGGCTTAAAACTATAGGTAGGCCTTGCGGACGCCATGGTGGTTGAGAGGTGAGCTGAAGGGGCAAGTTAGAAGTACTGAGGGACTAAGGACAAAGGCTGTCTTCAAGCCAGCGTCAGGAATCTTGACCTTCGTGCGACATATCGGTACGATCGATGAGTGTCAATACCAGGTGAGCACTGGGCGGCCCTGTGTGCACCCTGGAAATTATCCCGACAACTATGATAGAGTGTAGCTGGCACAGATGAATGGGATCCTAGGATCCGGATTCAGTATTCAGATATTCAATATTCAGAGAGCATCATGAGTGAAGCCGTGATGCATGAGGCGATAGTACTGGTCTTCCTGCTCGACGCCGAAGCGAGATCTGGATGGCGGTTCGTTCTACAAACACGCACAAATACATTCGGGTCCTAATCGTGACCCCGGAGACCTGTTTCGGCACTACGGCGGTAGCAGGTACTACTAGCCAAATACTAGCACAGATATGCCAGAAGGTGGTCTGATCTCTGTGCCGGCCTTTTGCTTTCCTCTCGGAGCATTAGCGCGATCTGCAACATTCCATAGCGACATTGGCAGTGCTCACCAGTCCTAGTCACTGCGGACGCAACATCATGAAAGGGCAAAAAGCGCGTCCAAAGCATTGCTTGGGGGCAAGTACCTCGTTTTCCTCCTCAAAATGAAACGTTAAATATCGCGCCGCAGTGCACGGAGACGAGCTACTCTGTCTTTATTGGGTCGACGGCTCAGAACCACTAGCAGGCGTATCTTCGGTATAGAGGTAGCTATGTCACAAATTGCCGTAGCAAGATGACAAATGTTCGCGCATTGTGATGTGCGCGGGACGTGGCTATACCGACCGTATTTGAGGCCGCTTGAATTGCTGTCCATGTGCAGTCAGTAACCCCCGCTGCTACCACTCTTATGGTCTGGCTAAGCACTTCTCCAATCTTCACCCACAGATGGGTTCTCGATATCCTTGCAATTTTATTCTGGCCAGTTCTGACACTAGTGATTTTAATCGCTCTCTTTCATTACTGGATTTCCTGTCCCCGGGAGCTACATCATTTGCCCAAGGTATCACCTTACAGAACTCTCTGGTCGTACGCGATACGAGAGTCGGTCGATCAACGTGTCCACCGCCTCATCCTCCCTTTCGCGCGAAAGGGTGAACCTATGGTGGCAGTCTACATGCTTGGAAAATGGGGAATACACCTCCTCGATCCTGCTGTCAGTACTTTCACGGTGCTTCCGGTGTTGTAGGCTCTAACCTGGCGCGTTACAGTTAATCCATGCGGTATGCCTGGATGGCAACCGCTTCCCGAAGAAAAACTATCAGGAGCACCTCCATTTTACATTCCTAAGTGGACCCAATGTCGTTTTCTCGAATGGAGAGATGTGGAAGCGACACTCAACCTCGGTCAAAGCTGCATTCGACCGGCAGATCCCTGTGCACGTCTTCTCGGAAACAGCAGTGGAACTGTACAAACGCATTGGCCCTGGCGGCGTCCATTGCTGGAGCGAGCTGGTACAAGTGAGAAATTTTCTTTCGATTCCACAAGCTTAAGCTTGATCCTCATTACTTTGAGCAGAGATATACGCTCGACGTTGTTGGCAAGGCCGCGTTGGGCCACGACTTTGACGCAATATCTCCTTCACTGGAGACCAGACTCTCCTTCGTGGATCACTTCAACCGCGTCATGTCCGGTATTGCCTCCCCGAGCCGGCTCATGTTTCCGATTTTGGACGTACTTTTCCCGCGGAGGGCTGTCCTCGAGGATCTTGCCTCATTGAACGCTCGCTACGACTTACTCCTCCAAGACAAGCGCAGCAAGCCTGGCAGGGACATCCTTAGCTACCTGCTGCAAGACGCCACGTTATCCCATGAAGAGCTGAGGTCTAATCTCTCTATCCTGTTCTCCGCCGGTCATGTATGTTCCTCTTTTCCCACCCTCACCCTGGAACTTGCGCTCAGCTTACACACCAGGACACCACCTCCGGCGCGCTCTCCACTGCGGTGTACTATCTCGCGGTCCAGCCGAACCTGAAAACTCTGGTCCGCCGCGAAATTTTCTCCGTTCTTGGCCAACGCACGGAGCCCACCCTGGAGGACTTGAAAAACATGACGCTGCTCGACGCGATCATCAAAGAGTCCCTGCGCATCAACTCCCCCATCTCCCTCCTTCCAGCGCGCGTCTGCACCACCGACGCCGTCCTCGCGCTGCCCAGCGGCACGACGACATACGCCATTCCGGCAGGCGTGCCCATCGTCCCGAACGTCTACGCCGTGCACCACAACCCCGTGTTCTACCCAGACGAAGCGGCGTTTAGGCCCGCGCGCTTCCTCGCGTCAGGCGCGGTTCCGGCACTCATGGGCGGCGTGCCGGCCGACGCGGTACAGCCGGGCACGTTCCTTCCCTTCGGGACCGGCCCGCGTCAATGCACCGCACGCCAGTTCTCGCTGTTCGAGCAGCGCACGCTGCTCGCGATGCTCCTCGTCCGCTACGAGTGGTGCCTGCCCATGCACTCGCCACATGTGCAACGGCTGCAAAACGAGTTTGGCGCGTTCGGGCTGAGCATCCCGCATGATCTGGACATTCAGTTCGTGCTTAGGCAGACCGGCGAGAAGGAGAAGGTGGACGGAGAGAACTGGCAGGAAGACGCGCAGGTGTAGGATCTCTCCCGCGCTCGTTTTTCTGTCATTTTCACATTTTCATTTTTTCTCCTTATTGGCGAATGGGCCGTGTGTTGCTGGAATTAACACGCGTTCGTGCAGTCGAATGTTATTTTAGTTGATGTGAACCAGAGCCTTGCTAGAGCTCGTCATTCACATGTGATCGCTTGATCGATATTCTTCCATGAACTCGTTCTGACTCTACTGTACACAGACTGACACGCGACAGATTAATTAATATTGAGCCTGCTAGGGCGGGCGGTGTTGGCAGGCTTGATCCTGCCAAGGTTGACGACCGTCTCGAGCGACTCGTTGTCGTACTCCTCCGTCGCACCCCAGATCTTAACAAACTTGTCAATAATGTCCTCCTTAGGGTTCGGGTTCAGCTCAGGGTGGGCAATGAGCATGCCAAACACTGCGCGCCAGGCTGAGTTGAGTGCGCCGGCGACCCACCTGCGCGCGATCGTCAGTGAGCAACGCTGTGCGTGAGGGGTGGAAACCGTGATCGAGACTCACCCGTGGAAACACGACGTGGCATCGCCAGCAAAGTGGAGCCGCTGCTTGCTCGATGCGGGCTGGGTGACGTACGGGTAAGCGTAGCGGAACTGGCCCGGCGCGAACTGGCAGAAGGCGCCGAGCTGGAAGGAGTCGCGGTGGAA